TACTATTGTTGGGACCAAGGTTAAGTTCGTTACTGAGCTTCGTGGGGGGTTTCGTTGTGACTACAGGGGGCATTTTGTTAATTTTTCTTGTGAGCAGGATAACTTTTGTATGTGTGGATGGAAGTTAATGAAATTTGATAGGCATATTACTGTCGTGGTCTCCAAGATTGAGTTCAAAGATGAGAGTCGTGGAGGTCGTTATGTCCCCGTAATAGGACCTTTTGTGTTTAGAAATCCCCCACCTACATCTGCTTGGAGACAGCCGACAGCTGGATATAGCCGGGGAACCCCATAATGGGATGGGATCAAATGACGTTACATTGAGGGATTGTACTATAACTTCAGCAGGGGGAGGATAGGTTGGACATATGTCAGGTTATTTTCTACGGCCACACCAAGTAATTGCTATGGATGACGTCCACTGGAGACCTTAAATCTAATTACCTTAAATTTAAGGAAAGCGCGCAATAAAAACACGAAGGGCCGAAAAACGAGATGCCTAGATTTGGAATATACTAACTGTAGAAGTACAAATGTTAGGACACAAAGAACACAAGAAACAAGTCTTCTATTTGTCATAAAGACAAATTAACAAAACAGACAGTAGTCACCCTGTTCTGATTCTTTCCTTTATAACATCTTCTCTTATTATATTTTGTCGGCGCTGTCGTGACACTTTCAACACAGTAAGAATTTCTTGAACGTTTTTTTTCCAGTAACAGTCCAAACTCAAATAACGTAGGGGGGGGGGCTAACACGGGTGGCGACGCATCTGTATAATCTGCGGCAAACCGTTTCAGGGTGTTCTGTACCATAAAAATGATACAGAGATTCTTTTGTTCTTTAGACCAAATTGATTATTAAAAAGAGTGAAGAATACGCATGTTAATTTCTCTAGAACGATGTACCTCTGACGAAGACATGAGATCTCCGACCTCTAGTTGATATTACATTGTGGAACATACATCGCTTATTATATATACATTTTGAAGATTTATTTTGCATTTTTATTTTGTAGGTGACCTTTCAAAAGTAAGCTGTGCTTTTTTGTTGCTTCGATAAGGCATCTTCATTCATGCCATGAAGGCAACCAATGTTTATACATGGATGAAAACGAAGGGAAATTCTAAATAAATGCAGTCTCAGGTATTTGCTCAATATGTTTTTCAAACGCCTTATGAACACCGGTGACATCGCGTGACAAAGAGGGACGCTAACAGGGCTTCTCATCGTGTTTCAGAGCGGTGTCTCCAAACTCTCGCACGGCTATTGTGGAGGAAGGGGACAGGGAGAGCAATAATTAGATCATCCTCATCATCATCATTAACAATTACATGACTGGCCTAGAATGAAAAAAAAATCACATGAGGATTCATTGATACGTAATGGTTTATACTGTCCTTTCCTTGGTTTTTATGACACCTTATTTCACCCTAAGATGAAGGCCCGAGTTTGACTGTACCCGTGAGGACCAAGAAAACTTTATACTGGTCCGGAGACCGGTGACGGACTAGCTTGGGCCGGATCATTCTATAGCTGGCTGAGAGTGAACACGAGTGTCTAAATGTAACTAGGTATAGATAGAAGGACAGAAAGATATAGGTTTATTTTTGTACGGCAGAGGTTTAGATGAAGGTTGGTATGTATGTAATAGTCTTTGTTGTGTGTGTTGATGATGTATCTTTTTAATGTCGTATTTGCGAAATGTACATATTGTACCCCAGACCCTGCAAATATTAGTGAAGAATTCAGCGATTTGTCATCAATGAAGTCACCTTTTCTATGACTCTTTGGACCATGATGGCCGAACGGTTGCTGTTATACGAAGGACGTGTACTGCTCCCTCTTTTACTTGCCAGAAAGACAGAAATAACAAAATCTCTGTATAGAAAATAGCTAGCTAGAACGCAGTTCAGCCAGAGAAGTCCAAAGATGAAGAAAAGAAATATCTTACTCACACAAGAAATGTTCGCAGATTGTTATTGTATCATCATAAGACGTTCGTCAATTGAAATGCAGGTTATCATTAAAGGGTTCCGGTGTACGATACACGGCGTCCCCTTTTATTTCATAACGTCACTTAGCTATATTTCTTTTATTCATTTGATGCTGATATTTCATATTTTGTTCTAATACTACGGTCAAGGAGTGCTTTGTCCTTATGATCTACCTCCGTTGCTATTGTAACGTTTCTTATTGCCTAATAAGGCATGAATCTCACTAGATTTTTAAATAGAAACCTCAATCCAACACAAGATCTACAATATAGAATACGGCCTTGAAGTGGTCGAAGGTGGTTTATGGTGGTTTATAACAAGAACAAAAGGTTAGTGATAACGGTAATATTTCAAAGCTATAAAGCCGTCTCTTGTCCAGGTGAGAACAAGTAAAATTCTTCAGAGCCAGGTGCATATTTTCCGACAGGAATTACATACCTCGTAAACTACAAGGTGCTGACAACTGACCTCCCGATGCAGGTTGACAGCTTTCCGCTAGATGGTGCGGTCTTACCGCCCAAAGTACGTACCTTGGGTTTTTTTTTTATGATGCCATTTTTACGTTACGTGTATATACTTATGTAGCTACCATAGACTACTGGCATTGCTGACAGTAAATTAATGTGTGAGTATGAGTCTTAACTGAAAAAGAATAGTTCCCTACTTGAAATATCCATCGAGTATACGGTAGTCCATCAGCGCACAAGATATCAAGAAAAGTCGGGTCGGGAGTCAATGAATAGACGATAATATAACAAATAAAGAGGAACACGGGCTATACGTACGCTTGGACATGGATCAAATGTTATAGTGGAAAAGTCTCTTTAATAGGTTTGGCTTCGAGCGGGAGCAATATCCAGTAAATCATGTATACTACGTTGACTTTATAGTCTACTTTAGGCCTGTTCTTATGTTTACGTTACTTTGAAGTGTGTATCTGTATTTACTCTAGGCTCAATGTCCTTGGAAACACAGAAATGTGGATCAGTACTTGCTGGTACCCGCGCATAATATTAGTGCATTGCGTCCATTCTGTACGCGTTGTTTTGATGTGGATAGGGTTGGAGGGGGGGGGGGGAGTACGTGGAGAGACAATGCTGTCACGTGTCATCTGTGGGCCGACTGGCGGAGAGGTGTCTGAATCTTCAGTATCGCCTTCCCATCGAATCCTTAGTTTTCTATCTGTAAAATGAATGCTTGCCCTTGTCACCTCCATCCTAGTTGAGCCTCAAGTATCAATGTTTGCAAAATGGACAACGTTGGAGCTCCGGAAAAGGAGCTGTCGACTAATGTAAAGTTCAACGTTGATCTCCACACTTGAGTCAGGCGCCGCCTGGCACTACTGAGAAGCGCCGACGAAAGGTTGCTATTGAATGTTCAGACTACAAATAGGGTTGAATGGACGTGAGCTGACAACAGAACATTCTCTGACCAATGGTGTCACATACACGGCTGAACTTTGACACGATATGAACGAACCGTAGTTCACTAGAGGTTAATAGCAAAGCCTGTGCACACAGCTACAACAAATATCGTCTGAAGGCGCTGTTTGTACATCCCGCACGCCCACAAATGGCGGTAAAGCTCGAGATGTCGGTAGCCGGCTAACAGGACGTAACCACGGCGATATCGTTGTCAAACTATCTTGTAATCTTATGATTACACCTGTAAGATGCATGAAAACACATCCTGAGATGTGGTCATCAAACAAGGCTGCAACTTGGAGCTGGGCTGTCGCTATTTTTGTTCTCTTCATTGGCGGGAAGCCACGGCCAAGGTAACATTTCCGTTATATGACATATGTTTGAATATGTTTATATTGCGAAATTAATCTTTGACTACACATGGTATATCGTTTACACAAAGTCTCTGGATCGGAAGAGCTTAAGTTTTTGTCAAAGTGAATGCTTGACATCTGATTATGATGTTCACTGAGGTCATTCAGAAGGTCGTGGTCATCAGAAGGTCGTGGTACTAACTTTTAACGGTTTGTTGTATACCCGACATGTGGTGTGAACTTCGTACTCTGATGTATCACATATGTTCCCCTTCGTGTACAACTTACATCAAATGGTCATTCTACTTGTATACAAACTTTTCTATTAAAATTCGCATGAAGTTTCACTTTTACAGGAGGTTATACTTAATAGGCTAACAAGCCTATAAGTCACACACAAAGGTTCTGTCAAAGACCTACATATACCGTTCTGTCATTATTTAACTAAACCTGAAGGGCTGGTTACGAAGACCTTGTACAATTGCATTGACAGTCACTATTCGATCAATGACCTAGTATAATTCACATTGAATATCCATGATTATTCTCATCTTTCACATTTCAGGGTTGGGGAGGGGGTATAAAATCAGTCGTGATTTTTGTCCTTCTCCTTCCGTTTTCTAGAGAAGATACCTTACCCATCTTCTGTTTGTCGAGTATATTGAAACCTTTTGGCGACACCTTAAGAGTGAAGACATTTCCATGTTGATCCCAAGAAGCTGTTGTACTTCCTTTATCACGTACCCGATGGCATACAGACCTCACAGTATCATTTCTATGAACGCTTACGACCGGTTCTAAAACTGATGTTGCACACAGATGTGGACATCATCACCCTCCCTCCGGAGCTGGCGGAACAGATCCGAGCCAGCATCGCTGACAGTCAGATCACGGTGACTAACGCCGTCCAGGGGCTGGTGGCCGTGGCCGTGTTCCTCATCATTGTTGGTCTCCTGTTAGGACTCAACCACTTCAGATGGGAACGGTAATATGACTATTGATTTTTGAAAAAAAAACACCAGTTTGATTTTTTTTTGGCGAAATTCACCTTGTTTCCCGTGTCTCACCTTTTGATCTCCTGTTATTCTGCCCGTCAATCGTCCCTCATCCACGTGCTATCTAACTCCTCTGTCTGGACAAACAGACACACAAATCCATAACTCTGCTATCCAAAGCAATACTTCCGTACCCGGGAGATGTACAAAATACCACCATGACGTGATCATTTACTCTTTTTTCTCTCTCCCTGACATAAAGGAGACACAAAGAATCCCAGCTCCGAAAGGTGAGCATGAACCGGATGACTGTACTCGAACAACCGTCATTTACTGTGAAAAACGGCGAAGTTCAACGTCGGGAGGAGAACGTTCCGGAGAGCGGCGAAGTTCAAGGCCAGCAATCGACCGGTACCCTGTCCGAAGGAGACGATCGATTGGACAGGCAAAAAGAGCCGCAACCTTCTGAATACGAGGAACAAGGCACACAGGAGGACGTTGTGATAAAGATGAAGCTTCCGTCAAAATCGTACCCAACAAGGTATACCAACTTTCTTTCACACTGGTTGAGTCTTTTACACTTAAAAAAGCTAGTCTCAGCAACTACACAAGGGACTGATGAAAAGTTGTTGCTGAGAAAGATTGGTTATGTGACGTATGGCAAGGTTTGACTGGCTTCTACAAACTCACTGGAACAAGAAATTAAATGCTTACTCGTTCCTCTCATATCACATAGAAAATATGGCTATCATCCTGCAAAATAGGACACTAGTCTCTGTGTACATCTAATAATTCATTCTATTCTATGCATATCAAACAGATATGTCTATGATAATCCTGTACTGGAGGACGGAGAAGCTGAAGAAGAACGACCGAGGTCAGTACCTACCAATACCAGTACTCTCAAACGTCTTAAGCGTCCGAAGAAATGATACTTTACCGATGCATTTGTTTACCGATGAACTAACAGCTTACCTTCGGTTCTTATCTTTTTCGCCCTCAGCCCATTCAAACACTGGGAGCGTGACTCCGAGCTGGAGGACTACCTTGCACATTTCATGTCCCCTCCCAGGACAATGGACTCTCCCATCCTGTCCCGTAGCTACATCCTGGAGTTCTCCCAGAAGTTCAACACTGACCCGGGGAGCCGGTCTGGGCTGGACAACCCCGGGTTTGCGGACCGGCCTAACGATCCAACCGTGCGCCCGGCTTTAGAAACTGAGGTGTAGTCAGTTCGGACGATTGCATTTAGAAGTCAATAATTTCTTTGTTTTAATCTAATTATTGTCAATTTGTCCATGTCAGTGTCAATGTCTTTTCCCACGGGCTCGCATAAGGGAACAGATTTGCATGTGTAGCAGACGTATTATGCCAATAATACTTTGCTGGCTAGCTTTTCACATCCACCATAGTGGATTGCGGTGACAGTCTGTTGAACATACCAGCATGCTGCTACTTAATCAGTTTACCCGCCAACACCTGGTTGCCAAGATTCATATGATAATAATTATGACGTCATGGAGCAGATTTGATCCGACTTTGATCTGGTTCGATCCGGCTCCGATCTAACTCGATCCGGACAATTTTATCCTTGTGGAATGGGGACTCTCTAATATAGACTGTTTTGATTTTCCATTGCCCAATCAATAGACTTAAATTCAAAGTAGACAGGATCAATGGTAACACGTAACCACATGCCGGCCGTAAGTTGCCCATTTATCCGCATTGTGAAACAATGTTGTTTGGACATGTTGCCTGATATCAGTATCTAATACTGCACAGAGGATACCTGAGTCCTTGTTTGGTAGTAACTTGTATATTTTCAATAAAATACCAGAGTACTGCTGCTTGTTACATGTGGCATCTCATGTAGTTTGATAGTCTATTATTTTAAGAGTCTGTTTAATCAATTTTCTCTTAATAATTCGTTTAATAAGCGAGACAGGGACATTTTTTCTTGCTTATGATATCTAACAAAATCAATAACACTAGCCAATTATCGCACGAGAAATTCATCTATTTCTTTTTCCCTTGTCTTTATAACCATTGCATGAAATGTAAAATGACATCGCCCATGCCTATATATTCTGTCTCGATCTATATATATGTTGTTTCTCTTCATAGAGCTGACCAGAGTGACACCCTCCCCCCCACCTTATAAAACTTCCCTCTGCACTCCCCACAATCAACTGCACTGCCATTTCAAAAGAAGCATAGGAGGTAGGAGATATAAGCATCGGGCATCACACACACGATTTATGTGCCTGTCTAAACTACGTCTTACCAACAGTGCGTTCTTTATTTCACGAACTATTTCATGTATAGAAAATGACGGGAAAGGGGAGATTTATGACCAGTAAATATTGGCACGGATTCACGGTTGATTGTCGTGCGCACGAATGTCTATTGCCCTGAGTACCACCGATTGTTCGCCCTGTCTCCTGAGTATATTTACAGGTGAGTTACTGTTTGAAGCATAAACAAGCCACGCCCTGTGATTTAAGGAGAACATAAAAATGGGCGATACCAAAGACGGGGTGATATTCACTAGAAACTCATCAGATGGGAACGCATTACAGCTTTGATAATGCAACAATGCGGGTTTCGTAAAGTATCAGTCAATGCGATAGATTTGGAAATGAAGGAATAGTAGGAAACACAAAATTTGCATCATCATTTATATATCTTATCCGAGTCACCCCCAAACAAGGCAAAGACTCTACAAGACAAACAGACACAGTAAAATATTGGTTAAGACTAAGTACGGTCCGCTTGTTGTCGATGTCTACTTAACTCTGGGAGGGTAGAGATCTACAGAAGGGAACGACATGACCACGTATCTGGCCAAACTGCTGTGTTTTAGCGTGCTGGGCGCCATCGCCACTTACGTCGAAGGACAAGGTACAGACTATCTTATGTCGCTTTTAGGGCTCATGTGTACACTGTCAGCGTTGTATATCTGTCATAGTAGATGGGAACGTACGTCATATATGTACTACCTGACACAGATCCTGTTCACACTTCACGAAAGTGTACCTTTGATTCGTACATTGTAGATATATAGCTATTAAAGAAGCCGCTATGTGTATGATGTAGTGTCCGTTTCTGTCATAGCGTCTCCATTAAATGGGCAACTAGGAATTTTCAACAGGTTGCAGAGATTGGTATTTGAAAGGCAGACATTTGATTGACTAGTTCTAGTACTAGTAATACTAACAGAAGTATGCCAGGTCTCATATATCCACCACGCTGAATCACGCGTCTAGAATGATCTCCATTACAACGTCCCCCAGTATAACGTACTCATACATATCTAAACTGTGCATACTTTGCGGTGTTAACTATAGAGATGTCTTAAAAGCACTGTTTTTAAAAGGGACTGACATACGTGTAAGGGCATTGTGACTGTCTTTGTCTATCCTGAGGTTTTGTTGTGTCCCTCAGATGTCGGCCCGGTTGGGACCACCCTTGACCCAGACGTCGCTGCAAAGATCGCCAACAGCCTGCCCACCCTGTACAACCTGTACGTGGCACTGATCGCGACGGGGGCGTTCCTCGTCCTCGCCGTCACCGTCATGGTCATCAACCACTTCAGATACGAGAAGTACGTATATACTGGGATTTTCTCTCCATTACGAATTCGTAACAACGCAAATTGTATTGCTACTGTAATATAGAATTGTTTACACAGAGAAGATAAAACACTGCGAAACTTCATAGTCAGTCCTACCACGAAATATAACCATCATGAAAGTGAATTGATTTACTACGTACTTTATAATGGAGATCCCACTCAATTAGTTCTGGGGAGGTGGTCAGGACGCTCGTTAAACCTGTATGAATTAAAATGTCAAAATCGCACTACAGATGAAACTAAATTTTACGTGTTACAATTTTTGTGCAATAAAAAATGACTTGGATCACTCTCGTTTCATAATGGTAAGCAAATGAATGTAGCGTACATAAACTTTTACTATGGCTTAACCCGAAGTCATATCACATAGACACAATTACTACTCAGCTGAAGCAACGTTTACAAGATATCTATATACAAAACTGGCATTGTGCCATTCGAAACAATTCTAAATTATCTTTCCTTTCCACCTTAGACAAGAATTACAAGCAAGAAAATTACCTTTCTAACATAAAGAGCTTTGACATACGTCGAGCAATCACAAAACTCAGAATTGGATGTCACAAACTCAGTATAGAAACCGGAAGATTTCAAAGGCTTCCTATTGACCAGAGGGTTTGTCCATTCTGCCCAGAACTAGTTGAGAATGAGTATCACTTTTTGATGGAATGTCCTAAGTATGTTGATGTACGCAATTCATTAAATACGAAACTATCGTCATATGTACCAGAATTTACATCGATGGATTTAAGTAGCAAATTTAAGATAATAATGACCTGTGATAACTCATGTATGGTAGATATAGGAATGTATATCAAACAATGTCTAGACATAAGAAATTCCTCCAATATTGTAAAAGTTCATTCACATCCTATATCAGCCACAAACTCCTGTATTAGTTAGTTTAGTCCATAGTTAAGTTTATAGATAAGTTTTGCCATACTTTGTACCATGTACAACTGTTGTGCAATAAAGTTATTATTATTATTACTATTACCCTTGCTCACCACTAACGTTCGCCATGACCCCCCCCCCCCCTCCAGCCGACAGGCGAGGAAGGCCAGAGCCGGGGGAACGATGCAAGACGACGTCCCGCCAACTACGAACGACGAGCCCGTACATGTGTACGACAATATCGGCATGGTTAACGAGAGGCCTGTAGAGGTCACCCAACTTTAGAGAAACTCCGGGGAGCTGAGAAGCTGTCACAGTATATAGTGCATCGTGATTTTATACCGCATGTGAAGCATTTTCTCAGTCTGACATTTCATGCTTCTCATGCACATTATCGTAAAGAAACGAAAGATTAAATCAAACCAATGTTAACCAAACGGAAGTTGTATTAAAATATTGATGGTAGATCATAGACTAGACCAGACAGGAAGGCCAGGGAATAAATGAGCGCCACCTGGCGATATTCAATGGTACTTCGAATTCGTTTACCGCGCCTTCAGGTTTCCACGTAAACAATGCTTCCATTCTAGAGATACATGTAAGAACAAAGGTTGGCCTGGGATGTCAGTAGTAGTACTGGTAGTCCCGGCCACACATTCCCCTCACGTGAAGTATCGGGGATGGTACATTACTATCGGAGATAGCGTGGACAGGTCGCTATGTGTCAAGAAGTATGATTAGGCTCGATAAGGCTCAGTGACGCTCTGTGTGACGTTACGTACACGTAACTTGAAGTATGGTGTTCAGATAAAGTTTTGCTCGGACGAGCGATTGCTTCAGGATTAATTAATGTCCTTATCCGCAACGCAAATTATGTATTCGCACGTACTTCCGGGGTTTCTGAGAAGTGGGTACGGCGGATATCGTCATAACCGTTCAGTAAAACACAGGAAGGCCCCTGGGAAAGTCTTTGGAGATATCCGTCATTGTTATACAATACGCCTCGTCCTGTCTCAGTGGAAAAGGAAGGGTAGATAATAATCGGACCGTGTGTGCACATGTAAACATGTACTTCTAGCGCATCATGACATATACCATTAAAGGTGACTTTTGAAAATATCTCTGACCCATTTTTGGTTGATGTTGATTCTCGGTATGCCTAAATACCTCAACCGACCGCAACCGACCGCGTAATGGGTTAATAAATGCAGTATACATGGGCTAACAACCTTTCCCAACGCTCTGGATACATTGTCTATGCTTGTATGAATGGAAAAAAAACACTGTAACTCTGACGTTCTGAGTTTTTATTATTATATATAAAAAGTTATTCATCGTTGGTCCATCGTTGGGCCATGCATGGTGAATCTCAGGACACGTTTTGCTTTATACAGGCAACAGAACGCAAAGATGTTGGTTTATAAATCATAGTAAAGCACAAATACTATCATAACCAACTCATAATAGCTATATACCTAGTGTTTTCCAGCCTGGCATCCAAGCTGCTAAGCACGTACGCCTACCGGCTTGACCTCCATTGACCTCAAGGAGGAACGCTCCGCGGAACCAACCAACGAACTTCGGGGGGTGGCCAGACAGATCATTTATTTCAATAGTTGGATGTCGATCCCTTCATGCCAGGGCTTTAGCCAGCGCCCGTTTTACCGTCAATTGACGGTAATTTGTCCCGTCTGACGGTAAAAATTTTAGTCCTTACCGTCAACATTGACGGTCAAAAATCGTGGGTAAAGACATGGAAAAAATCTAGCGAATTTGAATGAGCCACGGCGCGACGTCTTTTCCAAACGCACGGCGGCGGGAAACCTGATTTCAAGGACCGTGCCGACGCCTGTTGACTTGGCTCTATTGTTCAATGTTGCTGTCTGTTAAAACAACATGTGCTAACGGCCACATAAGAATAAAATAAAACAATGGCTCGACTCAGACACACGCTGCTAACTGTACATGACAATACGATAAATAAACATGTGACAACGAACAAAGAAATATCAAACGTTTTTGAATAATATACTGTACTTGAATAATCATACTATCGCAAGAAAACGGAGATTGATCCACACAATGTGGCCTTATTTAATCTAAAACTTCGTCAGACCTCCTTCGCGCGAAGACTTGAGCGGCAGCATAAAGATTTCTGGAGGATCGCTGACACGCGAGTTTTTGCCGGCCACGTAACTCCCTCCGCGGCAAAATCCCCTATGCCGTAGCGAAATCACGTCTCAGCGCTTCCCCAAGTCAACTTCATGGCCGCTAAAGTCCGCAAAGGAGTTGTAACTTCCTCATTTCGGTTGAGAAGCGAAGCTGACAAGTAAATCATGTACATGTCGGCCATTTTGTTTGCTACCCGAAGTCTTCCGAACGCTCTAAATAAGGAAATCGTCGGAGATCTGAGCCACATCGCCCGCTGTCGGTCAGCGCTCGGGCCCGGCTCGGTGGAAATCGGAGGCTGTGACGTCATGAGTAGGTTCATTTGCATGGCCGCGGCTTGAATCGCGGCGGGATTTGAGCGGATCAAAACAAAGGGCATAGCGGATTGTTCATTGCGTGTTGTCTCCTTGTGAGAACTGTAGATTTTTTTTTCATTCTGCAAAATTGCAGGTTGTGTAGTTTTTTTATTATTCTGCAATCTTGACGGGTATTTAGAACACCGAATGCATGAAGTGTGCGGGAGGGCGTGATGTCGATCACCGGATCGTGAAAGACATTCTTTAAAAGTAATCATTGACGGAATTTTTTTTTCGCGTTGACGGTATTTTTTTTTCGCGAATTGGGTTGACCTGGGGTTGACGGTAAAAAATTTCGAGCTGGCTAAAGCCCTGCTTCATGCTTTTAAATTTCATTCATACAAGCATAGACAATGTATCCAGAGCGTTGGAAAAGGTTGTTAGCCCATGTATACTGCATATTAACCCATTACGCGGTCGGTTGAGGTCGGTTGCGGTCGGTTGAGGTCGGTTGAGGTATTTAGGCAGACCCGTTGATTCTCAGTGAGGCCGTGAATGTGTTTTTTTTTCTTCCGGACCTGCGACGGCGTTACCCCGCTGGGTGGGTTTTGTTTTATAGTCAAGTTTGTTTATGACGTGCGAGGGTTGAAGGTGTACCCGCCTGGCAGGTTGACGCTTTACCGGCTAACAATAACATGCTTCGGAGGTATTGGAATGTACCACTCACAAGGCGGGGGATGGTGAAGACTGGGCTGCACAGAAGCCACTGGTCAATATGTAAGTTACAATTTTGCTCATTTGTAGACATAATAGAAGGAAACGTTTTAACGAAGGCAACAGCTATTTGGGTTGTATCGTTCATACAACACAGAAGGTAAATCACTATTAATCATTTAATGGGACCGTCCTCCGGCGACCTCGTGACCAGAATTACTAGTGCGCTCTCCTGCCCAGGACTGGTCTGATATCCTTTTGATACCCGGAAGTCTCGAATTCACTTGAAGACAAACGATAGGAAGAACCACTGGCCCAGACTGAGATGGCGCTGTGTGGTCTAGTCTTGACTCTGTTCTCTCTACATGCGACCTCTGCTATCACCGCACCGCCCCTCAACACAACCGGTCACAGTGAGTACTCTGTTGTTTTTCTATCACCATAACGTAGTCTACATCATATGTCATGTCTACTACATAACTCCAGACAACAAAATAAGCCGAGTAGATTCTATTCGTAGGTTTATTTTTCATCGTCAAAAGTATTTGTTCCAGACGTTGGCGATCATGAGCCGTGTAGCCCTTTAGATAGGTAGTATTCTGTTTATTACCTGCAAGTCATGTAGGGTGAACAGCTGTTGAGTCAGGCAGTGTTTCTACCCGGGTGGGCCGTCACGTTAACCTCCAATGACCTGTCTCATGACTCAGTCCTTACTCTACCGTAAGACAATCCGCTTATGAAATTAAAAAAAAAAACGGAATAAAACACAAATGTAAACGTTCCTTCATCCATTACTTTCGTGGCAGCCATACGTTGTCTACTTCCTTGATCAAATCCATATGCTTCACTCAGAAAACCTCTCCACAGGAATTATCTAGATGTATGTATGATGGAATTTACAATAAGTTCAATTACATAATCTGAGATGTTATGTTTTGAACAGAGAACTGAAATATCAGTTTTCGCAACCTCTCTACTGTACAATGTGGCGGTCACTACTGAGAAGGTATTGCCTCATGTTTGTGCCATGCGGAACTTCCGGTGAGAAAGTGAAACCGCCATATATAACGTTACGTACGTGTGTGGGAGTTTGGTTTTCCCAGGGATGAATCATACGATTCATGGGAGGGCAAGGGCACTGTACTTTCCTGGTTTAATGTCTCAAAGAAAATTTGCTGTTTAATTTATAAGACAAGCCGTAAGCCAGGCCACCTGTAAATGTATCACTCACCTGCTGGCTGGTAGGACACAGTTTATATTAAAAGCCGCAAGCTGAGCAACTGTACAAAAATGTTGCTTTGTTTGCAAAAATGATAACTTGCTCACCGGGCAGCCTGGCGTCTCGCAAAGAAAATATGACTTGCCGACCTCACCGACCAACTCCCAACTACAGATGACGTTGTACACGACTAACTCCCAATCATGGTCTGGAGGCCATGGTCGGCTATGTTTGACATGGGAGGGGTGTGTTATTTTTCCAATAGGTTATTTATCAGTGAATACATTATATACATAATCAGTAGACCGCAGAATGCCACTTGTGCGACGTGTTACGCGTATGAGTATTACCGAGAGTATCACTACCCCCCTCGAGCTCCGGCTATTGCGGGCCCTAGGCCTAAAATGCATTCCCTAGACGTAAAATGTCGTATTCAATCATGGCATCAAGCATGGCGGTAAAAATAGCCAACACAGTGATATCACAGATTTTCGAATATTATGAGCCTAGTTCAGTATTTGTTGGGAGTGTGATCCTACAATAAACATTAACATTATGAATTTTGTTTTGCCCCTTGTCAGTAACTACTAACTCAACTGCTGTGACTCAGAACTTTACGGATGTGGTGAACGCTACCACCCAAAACAACGGAACAGCGAAAGGTAGGACCGTGTGTGTGTTCATTGGGGTATTGTGACTTATAGTTTGCACCTATACTACGATATCTTATCAAATGAATAATATTAAGTAAAGATATCGTTATGGAAGATGACTTTGTTCATCTGTTTAGTAATTTGTCGTGTTGTTGATCTTATATGTAGCCCGTATCTATACAAAATCTCGACCGAGGGTCGGACCTCCACCTAGCCGCCACGAGCGCGATCTTATGTATTTGACCAGGGATTAAGCCATTTTTACGATACGTTGTTGCCAGTTGTGAAGTGCTCTCTCACACACACACACTGTTTACATACACTATACTGTTCCTAATCTGCAAAATATAGAACTTTACGGAGAATTGTAGCCTATGGACACTTTTTGCCTGGGGAGGGGGGTGCAGGGGTGTGGTGTGGGCATTGTGACATGTTCCTGACTACGAATTAAGAATAAACAATTGTTGTTAGGTCAACGTCTGCAGAAATAATTCTCAAGTTGATAATGTTGTCTTTCCTCCTCACAGACTGTAACAGCCTGTTTGCCGGTTGTCCTGGAAGGGAGTGGGGTATGTTGTGATCTACCTACCTGTTGGTTTAGGTCACAGTTCTGATCATAATAAATACAGCAGGAAGATATCTTACGCTCATGAACCACTTGCACTGAGGATACGCAGTCAACTGGAATTTAAACTTACGCCTATCATACTGCACTTCACTAGTTGAGCCGACAGATGGCGCACTGTTTCTACGACATCGTATCTAGCTTTATACTTAGCACACTTTATCACACCGTGATTGTTAGACAAGCTCTATGTGAGGATGAAAATTGATGTGGAAGGAAACAAACAATTACATTGAAGCCTTCTTCGCTTTCGTACAGAGATCCCCGTCTTGGCCTCGGCAGGCGCTGTTCTACTCGGTCTGATTGTCTTCTTCGTGGTTTTGTGTGTGCGACGTCACAGGAGGTAAACTGTCTTCTTGTTTGAGTTTGGTGCAGCATAGCCACAATGTCTTGGGATTCTTTGTTTTTCCCCAAAAACATGTATTGAAAGAAAATCCTCATTTGAATCACTGATTCATTATTCTCTCAATGTTCAGTTCAATGTGTCCTTTCCATTTATCTTTCGTTTACTTATTTGCAGACCGAGACAGCGTAATCTGGAAAATGGAACACCTAGTTATAAAAGACAGAAAATCAAACAAGAACTGGCCGTAGTGCTGAGCAAACGCAGTGCGCAGCCGCCAGCGCCACTCCCGAGGCGTGGCCGAGTGGTGAGCGACGCTGTAGCGGGAAATCCCGAGCACGCGACGGAAATTACCGAGCCCCTTACACCGCAGTATTTACAACTTGATGCCCCGCTCGATGACTACCTCGTCCCGGGGCAGCCGGTCCTCGACGCAGATCAAGACTATGATTACGCATGCGCAGGCACTCAGCCATGTACGGCCACCGCACAGGGACAGGACGGTTACCTGGAACCAGGTGTACCTGTTGACGACCCAAATGAAGATTACGAAAATTCAGACGTATGCAAATACCCCGTTGAAGATTATGAAAATTCAGAAGTATGGACGAGCGGAGCCTCTTCTCCAGGACAAAACACCGACCGTCCGGAGTACGTCAACGCCGCCGGTCCGGTCCGGCAGGAGTCGGAGCTGTACGAAGACGTGCTGGTTCCGGACAGGAAGAGTAAGGGCTCCAAGGGGAAGGGTGCGCGGGCGAGTCTGAAGAATGCTTGGAACAAATACATCAACGTGGGATTTAGACGTCAGCAAGGCGTGAATCAGGATGACGACATCTACGAGGACACATGCGTACCCCAGCGTTGAAACGTACCACAGACTATATGTATATAAATGTATGCGCCATGAAACTCTCATCATCAACAAAAAAACACTAAGCTATGCCTTTTCTGAACTAAACAGCTAGGCATGTAGATGGATGGACTGAATGTGAACAGAAAAATCTCTTGAATGCCACTCGATTGAATTGTGTACATACATTACTGTTATGATCAGGACGGATACATTTTTAATGTTGAGCGTTATCAGTCTCTATTAATCTAACCCTGTCTTACATAATTAGTTTTTATCCGTGTTCTTACATAGGAAAGTTCATAACATTAAGGCCAACATAACCAGAAGAAGACATACATGTAAAATGCCAAAGCCTATGCGTAATTTTTCCTTTACTTTTTGTACAAACATTGCATTAAAAAGTTATTAATTATCTAATTTGGTGAAACGATTGGGTTTACATTGAGCGTGGTTAAGATGATAAGCAGAAAAGGAAAACGCCGAAAGTCTGATATTGAAGCTGTAATCTGCAGCAATTGTGAAAATATGTGCTTGGCAATATTGATAGTCGGGATATCTTGCACTCAATGATATATATTGTGAGAGTGGTGGTTGATATAATAAGATTGATGTACATGAATGTATTTTTCTTATGATGATCGTGTAAATTGTACCACATTGTTGCTTATGTTAATATGATTTCTTCACTTTGTTAGATTAAGTACGAGTGCACTTCGGGACAGGGACAATATGCTATTGTAAATACTGCACAGTATATCATGATTAAAAGTTCTTTATTCCGGTAACATTTGTTAGTGTCTTGTCAGACTAGTTCAGCTGTGAAAAAAGTGTGTGTGGAAGAAAGTCACACAAATATATGCACAGCTTTATCAATTACTTCAACATTATCATTACGATCTTGACGTCTTCTTATGACACATTTAGCCTGTAGAATACTGCTGCGTACGAGTATCTGCAGTCGAAGATAATTCCTATCGCACTGTTCAACATTCTGCATTAGAGGTAGTCAAATGGGATCTGTTTAAATGGTGAACGTTACAGTTTAAATACGCTTCGCTAGGAGGATTTCTCCGCTATTCCATTTCCTAACACTACCAGGTATATAACTCTGACCTTAATGTGAATTTGATGAAAACAACTGAAAATATCATTGACTATAGGAAACGGAGGAATACATGAAAAGAGTTATTATTATGATGAAACCATGTGGATAATCCACATTTACCCAAATGTCTGAAAAGTGGCGTGAAATGACTTTTGATTGGCAGAAAAATGGGCGTTGGTTGTGTCTATTGTCTCAGAGAGAGCCACGATTTTACAGGCAGTGAGCAGATTGTAGGCACCTCACTTTACACTTTCACTGTTTTGTCCCCAGTTCACATAAAGGTCACATTTAACTCCTAGTAGTGATAGAATCACTGTGGCTTTCTACGTGACCATATAATCTATTGCTCTTGTGCTATAATTAAGTAATATCAAATGAAGGTGTGGAATATTTATTCGTATACAATAAGATTCTTTTCTGTTACTTCGTGTTTCATTATCAGGGAGCTTTGGTAGTTGTGTGTCTGGGTTCTTTATCACCAAAGAACCTCCCAATGTACTCATACAATATATACTTTTCTAAACAGCACGTTATCATAATGGTCTGTCCCGTGAGGGAGGTTGTACGATAAATCACACAGGGCAAAGAGCAAAGTGTGCAATTGTGTAGACAGGTATAAGCTGTGAACTACAAAATTTACATGAACCAGGGTCTGCTGTAGTGCTGAATATAAATCACTGTGTTGCTCATCTACGGGATCTTGTCGTGTTAGCTGCTGTAGGTATACATCTTATAACAAGCGGCAGTCCTAGCGCCCAAACCACATTAGACAAATGACTCTTCCCCGGCTCCAATGCAATTTGAGCCAGGTAGAGAAAGCCTGACCTTTGACCTCGTATGACGTAATGCATGGCTACAGTCATTATGAGGAAGTAGATTTTCTTAAGAGTATTGCAGTTGAGACTGTTTTCCTAGAACACCCTAGAACGTCTGTACACTATCACACCATGGAGACATTGGTCCTAGTGTTGGGATTTCTTTTTATAGGGTTATCGATGGCTGATCCTCCGGAAGGGCTCTACATTGCACAAGGTAAAGTCTGACGTTTATGTGTATAACGGGCTGTCATCGGATAAGTTCTGAAGACTGAGAACACACAGGAAAAATGTCATAACCAAACTGCTGTGACTGTCCACAAAAACGCTGAACCAAGGAGGTCAGATCTGATTGAACCTCGTTGGTTGAATACACTTTGTTGACATAGTCTAAAATAGTTCGGTCTTAATCTTATCCCAAAACACAATTATAGAAATACAATATTAGCTACATGGAAAGCGTGCTAGGCATACTAGCGTATTCACATGATGGTCACATGTTAGAGCATGCAGCTACATTTGTGTAGTGACTTTTATGCAGTTTCATCCAGTGGCAGTAGAATCACATACTAGTATCCAATTTAATCTCCGATATTATTACCTCCATGAAAAATGGAGGTATTGTTTTTGGCGTGTCTGTCTGTGTGTCTGTGTGTGTGTGTGTCTGTCTGTGTGTCTGTCTGTCTGTCTGTGTTTCCGCAACTTTGTGGTCATCATAACTTCAGAACGCCTTTATGGATTGTAATGATATTTGGTATGTTGGTAAGTCTTAGGAAGACAAAGGTCAAGGTCAAATATGGGCCTCCTGGTGGATGACCTTGGTACTGCAGCAGAACTTCCGGTTTTTGTATCTTTTGTCTTGAACATGCTATGGTCTTGATGTTTTGGTAACAGATAGCTTTTCCTGTCAGGAATAAGTGGTGTGAGGTTTGGTCCCCCTAGCAGCTTGTTCTGGAACTGCAAGACACTTTCTGGCGAAATGTTTAAAAGCCAATAAGTCCAGATAGGAACGACATATTTTCATCATTTTTGGTAGGTAGGTAGCTGAGAGAGAGATGTACACGATTTAATTAAATTATGCAAATGAGGAGCTAATTTGCATAATTAATGGGGAAATTCTATAATTAGAGTGTTTTACATATAGTACTTTCATACATGTAATCTATGGCAGCTAGAATGTCAACAGATACCAATTATGCAAATGATGACCTAATTTGCATAATTATTGCGAAAATTATATGATTTCTTAATGGTAAATGATGGCAATTCAATACCTTGTGATATGTGTAGGCTACTTAAATGTTAACAACACTATGCATATATTATGTTAATATAGAGTTAATTTGCATAATTAATTAGGAAGTTTAAATGAGGATGTTTAAATGAAATATTGCCAAAGGATAGGAGTTTGACACGCAAAATATTGTAAGTTGAGTTTAGAACACCATAAATTAAACTACATTATATCAACTGCCACCTTATTTCCATAATCAATGAAACAAAACATTTACATAAACTCTACATATTTCATGGAGGTATGAAATCTCAGAATTCTTGTGTATCAATGTTTACACTTTTGTAGGGTCACAAAGTTCTGCTCATGACAATTGTTTTCTACAGGAGTGACATATGTCGGCTGTTTTGAACACGGCCAAGCACACCATGAACAAGTGCTCAGCGTCCAAATCAGTCCCGACTGCAGTTTTAACCACCCCGAATCGTGTTTAACACCTCCCATGTGCGCCAATTCGTGCCTAAACGTCAACATGAGCTATGTGTACATCGGTCTGAAGTACCCAGGACAGTGCTTCTGTGACTCCGTGTTACGTGGAGTCAATCAAACGGACTCTGTTGATGGGAGCTTCTGTGGCGGAAGGTGCTATGGAGACTCACAACTTGCCTGTGGTGGTGGACTTGATATGCTCGTCTTAGTCGTCTATCAATGTAAGTCCCGAAGCAGTTTCAACAATTCAATGATCTTGTTTATTCTTTTTTTAAAAATCAAAATGTCATCATTTGATTTCTAACCTTCTATCATTACATGAGCTGGGTAAGTAGCTTATTTTAAGTAAGAGTATTTCTATCATACTTTAGGGGTTTTCGTTTAGACGCGTGTTCAGCGAATAGATTTAAAACGCCATTACTCAGTTGTTTCTATATCTACACATTATTAGGGGATAAAGTACCTTCTAAGAGTTGAAGTTAGCATGTTGACTCATTTCATCGATATCGATTGTAACTTTATCATGGCAGGCCAATTGTTGTGTTTTGAATTGAAGGTGGCGCCCCGTTACCTGGTGCCTCATACGTTATGTTAGTAATGTATAGATGTAAGTTATGGTTGGAAGTACTTAGACGGTTTATAGATAACGTCCTCACAGAGTATTCTAAACTTCTGTATAGTTACTCGATATGCATCCACGTGCACACGTGAAATTCAACTGTTCTCCATATCTCTGTCATATGTGTACTGTTGTGTTTACTGATATATACAATGAGCAATGATTACTATCGGATTACACTGTTGTATTTGATGCACTTTTTGCTGCCATATAGTATTATGATGCACTTATGTATTTTACATACGGGCTACTAGCAGTGCTCAGTAACACGAATCATTGTTTAAGTGTCCACAGTTCCTCCGTTAACAAGTCCGGCCACATGTAAGTATCTGTTCCGTCACTGGCATCAGTCATAAATCTGTACCTGAACATCTGTTAAATCGCAAAATTCACTCACATATAGGGCCCGAATACCGTGTAAGTATGTGACGACCTTATTTACTGACAACTTTATAACATACATGATTGAAGGCTCATTGACCTCATGATTTCGTGACGGTATTTTTTCACAGATTACACCACCGTCACGGGATACACAACTACACCAGAGGATGTACCGACTACAACCTACAGAGGGCATAACCAACCACAAGTTAGCTCTGGTATGTTATGTCATGTAATTCTTCACGAACACTAATAAAAAAACTGAAACAAACATTGCCCTGGGGTTTAAAAACTGAATAAGATCATAAAGATGCAATTCGATACACTATAACTTGTTTTCTTATACTTGTGCTGACTGCATAATTAGGAAATTCTAGAAAAGCAGACACGTCGAAGTAGTGTCATTATCAACGTTGTCTCCTCCGTAGGACTTATAGCCGGAGTGACTGTAGGCGTCGTTGCTCTAGTGGGCATAGTTGTGGCTGTTGTCTGTGTCTACATGTGGCGACGAAAGTGAGTTCTGTGGAATACAGTACTTATTCCAACCAACCACACAATATTGATCTTCCTCAGTCTAATGTACCTTCATTTGATGTAACCCAAGGTGCGAAGTTCAATCAACGTTACAAATATCAATATTGAGACACTTATGATTGATAACATCAATATTGTAATATGTAAAAATCTGATATATACTTGTTGAATAATTGAAAAGTACAAATGTTTAATTATTGTTTTCGAAATACAAGACATAAGTATATAACGTTATGTGGTCTCACTCACTCACTTCAAAATCACTGAAAACTTTTCACGTTCTCTCGTTCTCTTTTTCAAAGCAGGAAAACGTCAAGTGATAAAACCACTGACACCGAGAGGACGCGTTACGTCAATGGCCAGTTCCTAGACGATGACCAGCGTGCACGGACCAATCAGGACGTTCCTTATAGAAACCAACCCATCCCGCCTCCTCGCCCTTCCTCAGACGTCTACCTGGAGCCAGGAGTACCCGTAGACGATCATGAATATGTATATATTGACAATCGTAATAACATTCCTCCTGTAAACAGCATTTCAGTAAGGCCGACTCTACCGACGTCCAATGATAATTCAGGTTACGTTAACCAGTCACTAAACCACAGTTATGTCAATGCATCGGCGACTGGCGTTGGTCGAGAGTCGTTAGTGTATGATGACGTCCTGGTTCCCAGGCGGAACAGGAATGACGGGGGTGGGCAGTTTGTGAATGTAGGGTACAGGCACGATCAGGACGGGGCTTACGTTAACGTGACAACACCTCCGCGTAGATAAACAGCCTACGGGAACACTGATTGAGCAGTAACGTTTGTAAACAATAGTCTAGACAGATTTATCTCAAATTTGCATGTTTTTATCTGCGAATATATTGCCGATGTTTTCTGTCACATTACGAGTGCTTTTCATAATGATATAAGCTATAACTGTCCCAACACATTACAGAATGTCGTAATTTTAGTGATAGATGGCATACTATGCTCGTGGTTGCGTCGTTTACTCCAAAATGAGAACGAACAATAAAAGTTGTACAGTGAATATTTACTTCCTTTTGTGTGTAAGTTCCTGTTTTCTGTTTCAATTTTAATCAAACATATAATGCTGTAGTTGAATACTTTAGAGTCTGTATCCCTCGATCAGTTTATATCAGTTCAAGCAACACAAATAAGCCCCACATTCCAAGCCACACGCGCCAATTCAATGACTCTCCCCTCTCCGTTCACCCCAAACAAAGTGTCAAGTAACCTGATAAATTTGACCTATGACCGCGCACGCAGTATGACCTCAGTTTCATGAGGAAGTAAATTTTCGTTTGAAAGTAAAACGTGATATAATGAAGACGTTATTAAGAACTTGAGAACGTCGACACATCCTCATGTCATGGAGATCCTCGCCATAGTTTTCGGAGTTCTTCTGGCAGGATTATCGGTAGCTGATCCGCCGGAGGGGCTCTACATCGCGCAAGGTAAAGCATAGTGTTAGTGCTTCGTGTGTAGTTTCACATATATCACGCCACGATCTGGTCAGACGACAAAGACTGATAGAGGCAAACAGCGATAGATGACAGCAGCGATATTTACAACTGTCAGGGGCCAAATCTAAAAGAGGTTAGGAGGCAAAAGCATGAAAACAATCTTTTACAAATACATGTAATATTGATCCTTCCTACACTATCCAGCATATTTGTACATGGTAGAAATTACAACTTAAACATATGAAAATTTATTGTTTTCCTCTATTCAACCTTACAGCGCTGGTATATTATGTCTATCATGTGATCTATCAAAGATACATGTATCTGGGTGATAATAAAGAAAAACGTTTATCAATGTTTGATATACGTTTGATAAGCTACAGTATGCCTCCTTTGGCTTCATAGCTCAACTGATGACATTTTGTTTACACAGGAGTAAACTATGTCGGCTGTTTTGAACATGGCCAAGCACACCATGAACAAGTGCTCAACGTCCAAATCAGTCCAGACTGCAGTTTTAGGCACCCCGAATCGTGTTTAACACCTCCCACATGTATCGATTCGTGCCGAAACACCAGCACGAGCTATGTGTACATCGGTCTGAAGTACCCAGGCCAGTGCTTCTGTGACTCCGTGTTACGTGGAGTCAATCAGACGGACTCCGTTGATGGGACTCACTGCGACGGACGGTGCTATGGTGACTCACTACTTGCCTGCGGTGCTGGACATAACATGCTTGTCTATCAATGTGAGACCTGAAACAGATTTACCAACTTAATGATTTTTTTTAACCCAAAACGTCATCATTCAATTATTTTCTGACATCGTGACATAAGGGCTTTCAGAGGTTTTGACACACATATCCTTTACATAACAAATATCTAGTAAACATTACTTGTTGTAAGTTATTATGTAGACTCATTTAAACGATATCAATGGTAACTTTATCATTTAGTGCAATAGTTCTGGAAAATTAAATTGAAGGAGGCTCTATCATAAATACAATCTATCATCGTCATTTTCATTGGACTCGTTTTACAGTTTCAAGTGTTCCTCAGTCAACATCTAGTGAAGGCGCAGGTAATGCCCTCCGTTATAATTATCAGCCATTAAGCGACATTTTGAGTATACGTCAAAGCTAAAAAGCAAACCTTTGTGAGTTTATCATCACACTTAGTAAACAATGACATGTGCGTCATCACACAAAGCAGTAAACTTTTTGAAAGCTTAAGACCTTGGTCACAACCCGCCGTACGTGCTTTTTTCCGTTCGTTTTTTGGGAGGCTACGCTGCTACGTTTTTTTCTGAAAACCGTGGTGGGGAAGGAGTGGCGTCCACGCACGTCACTCGCACTGTTTCGCAAGGTGTAAGAGTGTAATCTGCACGCCACGTCTGGCCGTGAGCGATTGCGTGCATCGTTCGTTGCGCAAGTGGCAAGTGAGTTGTACGTGCTTACAACGTACGATCTCTGTGCGATTGCAACTTTACCGTAAGGAGGCCGTGCTCACACGTGCTTCTTCCGTACGGTACGTACGGGACACGCGCGTCGCTCGTACTCGCACGCACGGGTGGTGAATCCGCAGACCCCACGCAGAAAAAGTTTTACATGCACTTAAAGTTCTACGGCGTGTCTGCGTGCTCCCAAATCCGTAGGATTCCGTACGGAGGCGGTACTCACCACGCACGGATGTCCTGCGTTTGCCCACGTTTTTGCACGTAGACAGCACGCAGATGCACGTACGGCGGGTTGTGACCGAGGCTGTTATGTGTAAATTCAATCCAGTAAGCATAAATTTCAAGCAAAGGGTTTATCAATGGGACGTGACCGTTTCAAGTAGTATCATACAACTATGGATTACTTGAGAAGTTACTTTTCTAATAATGACATCGCCAGATTTGAGTTCTATGCACTGATAATTACAGTGATATCGAATATTTCACAGGGACTACAAATTCTGAGGGCCACAGTACTAAAGGTGATGCCGTAACTACATCTAACAAGACAGATGAAATGCCACCAAGTAAGACAGGTAAGTGTTTCTTAACTTAACGGCTTTTACACAATGCCTAATGTTAATACTATCTTGAAAAAATTGTAAACGCAGTCTCTCTTTACAGGGATGCATGAAGGCCTAGTGAAGCTAATCTCAGTCAGTGTTTACTTTGATTTTTCAAAAGCAATCATAGCTGGAGCGGCCGCTGGTGGGGCTGCCGTGCTGATTGTTGCTGGGTCTGTGGTTGGTGTGTGCATCTGGCGGAAGTGAGTAAATCATACATTTCCTATTGGTAGAGCTTTGTATTGTATGTTGAGAGAATTGTATGTTGTAGGTTACTTTTGAATTCAGTACAAGTTGTACAACTATAAGGTATATGAAGTAAAATGAATATACTGGTAGCAGTCGTTGACCTGTCACCATCCCATATTTTCCTAGCCGTAGCCACCTAGCTTCCATACGGCACAAGTTGCAAGTAAAAGGTAAAAAAAGGATGTAGCAGTCGATGAATTTTCATGATCTTATCTTTTCTGCAGTACTAGTAGATATCGATCTGGATTTCTATAGGTGTATCATATTGGTGATAGCCCCGGCCTGCTTTATAAAAGGAACTTTGACTTTTGTACAGGAAATCTGGACGGAGACAAACTGACAAACCAAGCAGTTCCCTCGCACTGCAAGATGTCCCCACCGCTCACCCACCGCCTGGCCCCAACACTAACACCACCGCTCCACCGAACCCCTCCAACATAGACGCCCTGTACGCCAAACCTGACAAGAAAAGGAAACAGAAGAAGTTCAGCCCAGATGACCCCTCGTACCAGGACGTCGTCCCCACTGGTGTACAGTATGCCACGGTCAACGACGACTACCCTCCCAACACCATGGTTCAACAGGATTCAAATCCTTATGACTCTATTCAAACTGATCCTCAGTACGCTGTTGTGAAGAGAGGCCCGAGACATCGGCCTAATGTGGATGTTAATCCGATTTACATGGGTGGTAGTGACGAGGCAAAGGATTCATTAAATCAAGAAAATGCTGACATGCTTGGTATGGTCGACAACATAATCTATGAATAAATTGTATAGGCTGACGCATTATCATGAACCCGAAGTAAATATTGTATAAAACGACAAGTGTCAGACTATTTGAATAAAAATAATAATCCATCTAATTGCCTATTACTTTATGTCCCCAGGTTTATATTATTCCCATCCGCCAGCTCGTATGTACGACATAGGCGATTGATTATTGTAAATTATGTCTAATATTTTAAATGTCTGTTGTCGATGTGTCCAACATAGCTGTACTTCTATATGGACCCATTACGTCATTGTAGACATTGTTGAATAATTTGAGATATACCTTTAACTGTAAGTCTGACTCTATTTTGTGATGGAACTAACGTTTCTTTACTATTATCATGTATGTAGACATTAGTGTATTGTAAAGGCACTCCAAACATTTATCTAATAGTTGCCATGCAGAACCCATGGAAAGATGTACAATATGAATAATCACAAATAAAGTTAATCTACATCGACATTGGAACATATGCGTACACTTCTTTGACCCTCAGAAGTTAGCGACTGTGCGCCTTTGCAGGTGTTATGCCAACAAATAGGCGGCTAGCTGGTGACCTCCAACCCTAGATAACGGGATCAATCTTGCCACTACAGCTTATACACCTCACGTGCACAGTAGCTTTCAGTCACTTAAAGTGACACTGTGACATCTGAACATCAATCTTTTCAACTACTAAAACTTGACAGCAGCGTTCTTTTTTAAGTTTTTGTGTCTTCCTTGACGAAGGGACTGCAAGTTAACACCCCCATCCCAGTACACATCGTGCGGTCCAGTAGGTCGTACTTGTGCAAAACATGAACTCTGAACCCGCAGAAGGAAATGAGCTTTCGTTTTTTAGCGCATAGAAAGTGCAAAGCTGTGGTTCTTCTCTAAGATCTCATAATCATGTTCAAAGTAGGAATGCTACTTGCAGTGCTGGTGATCTTGCACACAAGGAAGACGGTAACCCAGTCTGACTGTACTGACGACTATCCTATTACAGGTGAGCACCCGGAAGTGTGGTGAAAAAGAAGTTGTGACTTGACTGAATACAGGGGTTACGCTGTTGTCAAATCTGTTTTAATATGGTTTGCCTTAAATGAGGATAACTGCTCATATGATCAGTGACATGATACTGAAAAGGGTGTACTGAATTCTGAAAATATTTGACATTCTACAGACTTATCGGCTGTATCCATTGCCAGAAATAAAATATGACAGTCCTCAGATCGTGGCTGAAGACATGCCTGTAGATAGCGACTATAGCTTGAATTTATTCACTACGTTTTGTAAGTTAAGTCTAGCTTGATCAGATTTGTGGCATGGACGAGGTGAGGCACACCTTGAGCATTATTCAAGGCAGCTGAGGATCGCAGAGTTATCCCGCGGCAAATCCCAAGGCTATAAAACCATAAACGTATTGCCGAGGGCTAGCTCCGCATTGAAGAATGGTCTTGGATCGTGTAAACAATTATAACTTCCCCGTCTTGGTCACAGTATTGACTGAGTCACAGAAGTCACATCATTCAAAATTCAAGACCTGACCGAATTCTAACGCACGGCTCAAGATGCAACATGGCCTTAGCATCTTCATACATTTTAACATAAGAGACTTTTAATAATGTACTATGATATCTCTAAAAATATCACAATATTATATTTTACAATTTTAGATAACATATTTTCAGATCCAGAGTTCGTGGGGTGTTATCAAGAGCAGGGCAGTTTGTCGCCATTTTTGTCGGATGAAATACCCGGTGTAGAAGTGGAGACCGCCAACGACTGCATCTCCTGTTGTGTGGCAGAAAATGCAAGTTACAATTTCGCGGGAATCGTGCCTGTAGAACATCCAACAGCGTTCCATTGCACATGTGGAAACATGGAGAAAAACTTTTACAGTGCTTTTCAGTCATATACTGATTGTACAAAATGTCCAGGAAATGATAGCCAGTCATGTGGATTTGTAAACTCCAGGGTATCAGTGTATAAAGGTAAAATTTTCAAAAAGTATCTAAATTTTTCGTTACAGTGCTAGTATATGAATGTAAAATTTTCAAAAAAGTATCTAAATGTTTCGTTACATGAAATATCATGGCATTCTAATTCTATCCATCTTGTATTATTTGTAATATGAAAGAAAATATATATATTTAATATAGATAGGATCGTTTTGTAACAATCATCACATTTTTATTTAACTCGCGATCGGTGTTTGATCTATCTAATGAAGACTTTTATGAAAAAATAGTAATCGTATTGCTAGAAGAAGACTCTTAGTGATTAAATATCCTCACCCTTAGTTCCCCAGTACACTCCAGAGGACCACACTAAATATTCTACCCAGCCTTATGGAGCTTCAAGCTGTAAGTGTAGTTGTTATTAGTGTGTTTACGGTCCATTGACAGTTTTAAGTAAACCTTCTGACATACTGAAGTACATGTACCTTTCTTTGTTAGAGGAGTCGACGACATTACTTGACAGACGTAAGTCTGAGGAAGCTCAGTCGGTATTGAAAGGCAAGACAATGGTCATGACGTATGATATATTTATGGGTTGTTTCCTGTTAACAATGGTAATATGTAATAACATAGAATCTATAATTTTAAGCAAACATTACAAGCATGCCAATATAATTATTAAACTAATGGTGATGTTTTGAAAGCTGCAGTGACAACTCATACATTGCAAATGCCTGATTCAACTGCGAAGACTGCACAACCCTCGAGCAGATCACCAGTTGTAACGTTGCACCTATCTACTAGAACGTCGGTTTCACCCATGCATGCAGTTCCCAGCTCTGGTTCATCAGTGCAAACATCAGATCCAACCCAACCGCCAATACCGGTATCGACGACAATATCAAAAGGAGACATAAATGGTGCACCAGATGTAGGAGACAGGACAGGTACATGTGTCCCATAAAGAAGCTATTGATTTGGCTTTTATTGAAACCGTATTAAACGTGCAATATGTATATCATCAGATCATTGACTGACTGAACGTTTTACTGATTTCCCCATCAGCCCTCATCGCCGGCTCAGCAGGGGGAGGAGCCGCCTTTCTTCTGATCATCTGTGGTGTTGTTGCTTTCTGTATTATCCGCAAAAGGTAATATTAACCATAACTCGACAATCTATCCATCATTTTACAACTTGTTCCGCATATGTTGACTATTCCCCCAACAAAAGGGAACTTTAAGTGCCGACCTTTGGAATTGTAAACGGCTACTGCGGCCACCTTGAACAATCGAGTATGTCTTCAATTATGTTTGATTGTCGGATTTAGTCAAAGTCTTTAAACTAAGTAATTTAAGAATAACCATTTCTGACAAAATGAATGAGTGACCATGCAAGGAAAACGACGCTTAGTTTATCACACCGTAATTGTCTAATCTGAATGCTTATACCTTTTGCGAAATTCGTCCGTTTTTTGACAAATTAACTTGAAATGAAGACTATTTAATGAGAATAAGTAATAATTAGTGATTATTTCATCGGTTTCAGTCTAATCCAACGTTCTTGTTGCGTTCTTTTCCTAGATCGACTCTGCGAAAGGAAAACAACCCCACGGCATCGATCATGCTGGATGGAGTAGGGGCAAGCACAGACTCGGCATTGGGTGGGAGAAATCCGTCATTTCAGTCTAACAGTGTCAACGTAGACGCTCTGTACGCAAAGCCTGACAAGAAAAAGAAGACCCAACAGCAGCCACCATCCACCCCCACCCCTGAGGACCCGTCCTACCAAGACGTCCTACCGAGCGGTGCCCAGCATCAGTACGCCACTGTTCAGGACGACCCTCATCCCTACACCGCGGCCAGGGACGAGCCCAATCTGTATGACTCTATCCAAGATGACCCTCAATACGCCACCGTTCAGGGCCGCAAACAGGCGCCTAATGTGGAAGCAAACCCTCTGTACGGGAGAGGTAGTGTTGACAACACAGCTTATGATTCAGTGGGCCCTCCGTCAAATGACAGCGACAGGGCTCCTAGTGTGTGCGAAATGACGGATAACATCATTTATGAATAATTCCTTTAGTTCAGTTGTTTAGCTGATGATTAGCAAGCAGAAACTTTCATAACCATTAATGCGCGAAATCGGACACTAGTGAACATAACATATCTTGCCACACAGCTATATAGTACAAACAAGTATTAGTTTTCTTAGTACTGATTCTAATATGTCGACAATGGTCATAAAGTACGCAGTCGTGTACATTATGAGCCCTTGTAATGTCTTCCAAGCTAACTCAATATACTACAAAGATAAGTGATACAGTTAACTCTTTACAGTACGTTGTATAGATATCTGCCACGTTTTGATTTTGCTAACAGGCACAAGAAAACAGAACATAAAAAAGGTTGGAAAGTTCACAGATGAGTGTAGAATAAGGAAACATTTTCGTTGCTAAGAACATGAGGCTTCTCACTGTTTATTTCCTGTTTTACTTCATCATTACTGTAGCAACATATGTCAACTAAAGAAACCAATTAGCCTCATCTTTTAAAACAATATTTAGACGTAAAATATAATAACAGAAATACACATGATCTAATTATCTTTGTACTTAAACTATTCTTGGGTATTGAGAACATTTTTGCAGCTTTGCTTTGAATATGTTAGTTTTGCATATCTTGTTAGATGTACCAACTTTGCAGGCCACGTTATGTATAAAAGAAAACAGTTAACGCAGATTACTGTAGTAACTACAGTTCTATAATTAACGAATAAAGTTGTTTTCAAAGTCAGATTGGAAAATTTTGAGTTCATTGTTTTTGTACCCTTGCCCATACATGTATGGATGGGTCACATTACTGACCTTTAGTTCCCCAAACAGACGTTCAGAACGTAAACACTTCAGCGGTAATCATTGACCAGATTCATTGGCAAAGTTCAACTCGCATGTTGCGCGACGTGTGCCACCGGAAATGTAAGAAGTACATCCGGGTAAATTATACGACAATGCAATAACGGATTTTAAACTTGGTACATGTACATGGGTCAGAGGGGGTATCATTATCTTATTCTCAATATTCTGGCGTAAAGTCGAAATATCAGTCCGCTATCAGTCCGCTGAAGTTACATCAGGTCCCAATTTAAATTAAGAAACTTAGTAGTAAAGGACCTGAGGCATGTCATTCTATGTCTTCAAAATCACTGACATCAACATGCATCAAGAAACTGTGACGCAGTTGATGTAATTAAGAATTGACAAGTTTGAAGGAAGGGGTGTTTCTGAATATTCTTGATTCCCCGAGTGAGCTTGACAGCGAACATACATGTACTCTTATGCCAAAAAACAGTTACTCAACAGGTTGTGTATATAAACCTGCTTTCCCCTCTGGTCTCTCAGTCACTGACGAAAGCTAGTGGATACTAGCTGAAACGTCTGACGTTTTCAAAATCATATCCAGTTGCTTGAGTAACTGTTTTTTTGGCATATCGTATTACCTGGATGTCTAACCTTCATCGACGTACATGTACTCTTCCTAAGTTACTCAGAACTTCAAAGGAACTCCCGAGCCATTTATTATTGTGAGCTCCTTTGTGCAAATTTGTTTGTGTTTCAGATGGACAATGATAGACAAACACAACTAGACATGTGAAGTGTAAGGTATACATTCAAGTTAACTATGCAGGAAAAGAATGTGTATTAAGAATCTTTCACATATTCATACGTATTCAAAGGTAGACAAAAGCTGTCACAGAGAATTGTTTCACGATGTTCAGTACATATTTGCAGTTGTCAAGTCAATTTACAACATTTACAACACTAATAATCTCTTAGGTAAAGTAACTATTGTGCCAATAAAAGGCCACATATACACGTTGTCTTGCGTACCGGTCAAAGTGTATGTTTTACATTTATACAAACAAAGTCGTTGATAGGCGTCCACGCCATTTTGGAATACAGCGAGCCGCATACGGTTTTCCGTAACACCAGCTGTGAAACATGTAGTGGTGACCACCAACCGAAGATGACGTTTCTGAAGAACGTACTGTTTCTCTGTGTACTGGTGACGGGACAGCTAGAATACACCCTAGCTACAATCAACGGTAGGTCCTGTTTTCAGGAGGAAGTTTGTCATTCACATTGTTCCGTTGATTTAGTCACTTCCTTCTCGCCACGATGGTATTATTAAATATATGTCTACAATAAAATACTTATCAGTAAGTGTATACATAACTGTAACATTATTCCGTTTCGAATTCTGTGAGCCAAACATACCTACGTTGTGTTGCTTGTGTTGTAATATACCGCGTTGTGTTGCAATATACACTTTAATAGCACAGTCGTCAGGCGTCGACTACTAGTACTTGTGCCTTATGAAGAATTATTAGAATATCCGTATGAAGAACTATTATAGATCATTATACTTTCAAGATATACTGTGGGGATTTCTTTAATTGAGTGCATAACAGTTACACACTAGACATTAGTCCCATTACTTGTTCCGATGAATATTATCAGAGCAATTGCAAGAGTACACCAAGTAACCAGGGTCAATATAGAACACTACACGGTGTATTCCGTATTACCCGAGGTCCCAGTTCTCTCACGATTCAACCCAACGGAGGACTGGGACCTTGGGCGATACGGAGTACACCGTGAAGTACTGGTGTTCTATATTTATTGAGGACCGCATATTCAATTCTGCTCGCTTAAAGGCTTGCTTTATGTTGTCTAGGCATATCTTATATGCACAGATTTTTTCAGAGTGCGTCGGTCCTCCTCCTGTGTACAACAAAAGCACATATGATAAGTGTGTCGGGAATCAGGCGATAGGCAGCTGTAACTGCACAGCACCGGCTCAAACCTGTCATCATGGTGACCAGCTGTACTACACGTGTGACCACGGCTCTGGTTTGGACTTCATTATCATCTGCAACTATGAAGATGTGTTGGGAGAACGCCTTGGATTTATCATCTGGCGAAATTCGAGTGACAAATTTGAGGCCTGCACGGGTAAGACTACGTTCTTGTATCCTTTGTGTCTCTTATATGAGTTTGGGATGCAAGTACATGTAGCTTAACCTTGCCTATCTAAAGATAAAAAATAAGCTTTGTGAAAATATCGTTATTTTAAAGATAACGGTTGCCAAAGGCGTGATATACATATACTACATTGTACAATACATATAGTTTAAACGCCTTTTCGTTGAATTCCTCCTTTGTAATCAATTCTCATTCCATAGCTTTTTCGATACATTGATATTTAAGTATTTCATAACAGACATTTTGTACGTTCTAAGGGTCCCCGGCACCGGTGCAGTCAACACCAGCTCCACAGCCAACCTTCCCTCCTTCTAACTGCTCCTCGTTCAATGTCGCAACCTGGCCACCAGAAGGTTTTTTTTTTATTCATCAAAACATACAGACATAACAAGGACAGTGTGACGCTGCACTCAAGTTAACAACTTATATTAACGTTTCAAGCAGAAGGTATTTACAGTTTGAAACGCCAGTCACATAACTTCAACTTATACACCATGTACCATATTTTTAATTCATTTAGTTAATTTAGAATATTTTCGAATAAATTATTTATTCCTTTACTCTCCGTTTTCAAGCATGCTCTAGATAAAGTATGTAGAGCATGAAACAAGACGTACTAAAAAGCTAGACAAAACGCACAATATCTGTTTCCCTCCAGGCTGTATCCGACTTGTAGGAAGTGAGAGGAAGCCCCACGAGACGACAGGTATCCTGCAGGTGTACTTCAACACTACCTGGGGGAGCGTGTGTGAGACAGGCATCTGGACTGACTCAGTCGTGGTCGGCATTGCCTGCAGGATGCTCGGATTTAGCCACGGGTCCTTGGCACCTCCAGCGGCAATATGTAAGTCACCACATGCCTCGAAAAAGCAGGGATCTTTTTAAATAATCTTGATTCATTCGACACATGTTGGACGTCACATGCATGTACACGCAATCAACTTGTTGTTGTTGTTGTTGTTGTCTATCTAGATCATCTCCCGCCTGGCCTCTCCAACGACGCCTGGGAGGTCAACATACAGAAAGGCCATAGTTGCTCATCTGGTACGGAGGGCACTCTGTGGGATTGTGACCGGACAGAGCCTTGCTGGTTAACACACTTCATCGGAGGAAGTGGAGAATGCCCTAACCTGCTTAAAATCTCATGCGAAGGCAGGAACCAATTTATTGTCCTTCTTTATGGTCCTTGTTAATTGTGTAAATATGGTGTTCCCATCTCATCTTCTTCTTTTGTACTGCTAGGCCCAATTAAGAAAATCGGATTATCATCAGCTGCATGGTTGCATGGGTAATCATAACGCCAGCACCATGATTGATATCGATGATTGAAAGAGAGAAGAAGAGAGAGGCGAATAGATACGTGAAGGCATGTTTGAATGTTGTTCTGTTGTTAATAACGTTACATGCAGTGAACACGACGTTCTCGAACCTGACCTCCTGTCCTCGGCCTATAACAACCACTCCCAACCCGACGTCTGTTCCTGACATCTCTACACAAGGTAACGTTATACTTACAGATATACCAGCGTCTCTGAAGATGGTTTAATTGCTTATATAAACTATGAAGCTTTTGTAAATCGTAGGAAGATGTCGATTACATTCCTTCAAACGATAATTTTCCAGAGATTAGCGGAGCGAATTAATATTAAGGAGTCGTTTCGATACATTAATAAAACTGCTGGCGTGCAGTATTTACTTACTTTGTGCAATTGTACTTTTTGTCATAGTGCCTGAGTCAATCATAGATCCAGATCCTTCTACATCTTCGGGACACGAGTCGTCACCTAGCGCAGGGCTTTCTACGGGTAAATAATTAGTTGAATGTATTTTTACAAGGTGTAAATTTGAGTAACATGGCGGACTGATCATTTGATTAACACTTATCAACAAAGGAGAGAGAACCTTGAAGGGCGTGCAGTCTGCCATCTCTGTTCGCTTGGTCCATTTGATTTTTATTTGAATTTTCTGGGCTTTGTGTAAATGTAATGCATTCCATAACATGGGGAATGTGGATTCTTATATTTTGTTTAGTGGTTCTAATGAACTGGTTAGAATATCATCCCTCTTTTCCTCCAATCCAGCTGCAGTCGTCGGTATTGTTGTTGCTGCTGTTGTCGGTTGTGGGGTTCTCGCTCTGTTAGGGTGGGCAGTCTGTGGGAGGTACGTTGTCAAAAACATAGGTCAGATGCTGTATTTGTTATCATTGAAATTTATTAAGCTCAGAATTGTTTTCATTCCGTACAGTGTAGACCGACAGTTTGGGATGTTATCGTCATATCGCATGACAAGCGCACTGTTTACGTATCTTCCGTTATTTATTACTACGATTTCTTATGAAAGGAACGAGAGAAGAAGGTCAAGAGGAGGCAGAGGAAACGCTGCCACACATCCAACGACACAGCCAGGCCAACCAGGGACACCAGCACATACAGACAATAAACAGCCAACAGCAGAACCTCATCATTCGATGCCTGACACGGGGGAGGGGCAAACAGAGAGTCACAACGATGATTCTGCAGGAGGAGATTCAGGCGCCAGGACGAATTCACCAAATCCTCCCGCAGGAAAAACCGCTCCCCAGATGACGCCAATTGACTCATAGATCCAGCAGAAGCAGACAAAATCCGATCAGCTATCATGGAATGAATTCAGCATAGGCTGGCAGAGACAATGTATATAAAACATACAGTATAGAGCATTAACCAAATCACGTATAGGAAGAAGTGTAAAAATGCAAAAAGTTGGGCGACAATGAGGAAAAATTATGGAAGTGTTTTCCGCATCATTCTAACATTTTTCACCTTTTAGAACATACATGTATATCATACGTACATCACAGTTCATGGTCGTACAACGATCGAGATGTATGTGAAACGGTTCTAACTAGGACCAATACATTTTGGAGGTTTGCAACAAGTCTTGATCCACGACAGTTAATTGCAAGTGTTTTCGTGGGTCTACAGAACGTGGTGCATGTTAGTGCTTAAAAGTCGACAAGTCAATAAAAGCAGCTGTCAGTTTGCGGGTTCAACCGGGGGGCAGTGGGAACGCCAAAGTCCAAAGTATTGTCTGATGACTAGAAAAGTACTGATTCAGCAGTATGTAACGGTGTTTTACACAATGCACGTACATGTAGGTCAGATAAAAGATCAGGTGTTTCCTCCAAAAGCTGCAAATGGAGCTTTCGATATACATTTCTTCTTTTTCTATAATTTTCTCAATGAAATCTTGCAGACTTGACGTAGGAGTGCTGACCATACGTTGTGCAGAATGTCACACCACAAAGACGTTAAAACAAGTTTGTTAAACCAAGAGGAAGGAAAATCCCAGCGGTAAGAAAAATGGATTACAAACAGCATATTTGCCCGTTGTCAGATCTTTATCTCGGGTATTGCGCAAATTCAGACTTAGCCAATAAGGAAGTTACATAGTACAAAGTGGGTACCTGGATACCACAAACGTACCAAAAATGCATCAACACTTTGTCAGATGGTAACATTGATAGCGACCTTTGTGGTAGGTCCAGACAAATTATGATGTAGTGTGTACATGTCAAACCCATAGTTCCTTCTAATTCAATGGAGGACTACATTTATTACGATGACTTCCATTCATTGTATCTCATGTGCTACTCTTAATCGCATTAAAGAACAGTGATCATATAACACTGTTTTTCTCTAAACATGATGCAAATATGATTGGGTGAGTATATGCTACGTTACGATCTAAAGAAACGCTGTACATGTACTAGATTCATTGGATTCTAGTTATAGGTTGCTTAATGCTGGTCGGTTGGACTATCATATTTTAATATGACGTAATTGACGCAGAGGCCTATATGTAAACCTTTGCTACAAACTAAAAGAAACCTATACGCATCCTGGAGTGCAAATCCCACAGACATCAATCTATCAGTCGTTTTGGAACTTTTGCTTTGTTCTTCTAGAAATGAGAACAGCGATTTTTCACCGTCATGCCTCCTCTCACCATACTAACATTAACGTGATAGAGTTGAATATTTGAGTACCTAAGCAATGCAACGTCGCCAGAACAATAAAAGCACGTTGACCATTCAGCTAGTGAAAGCCCGCACACAATAAGTATCCAGGATTCAACGTGTTTAAACAAGCGCCAAGGCCACAAACAGCGCCAGCGGCTTACGCCGTGTCACAAAAGTGCGAGAGAGGATCAAACAGAGTCTGCATTCTGTAACCTGAGACCGCAACAAAGGATGAGGTTTCTAAAAATTGCACTGTTTGTCTGTGTTGTGGTGGAAGAGGCAAAAACCACCGTTGCTACAAACAACGGAACCGGTAGGTCTTCCTCCGAATGTTGGTCTGCCAATACTGTGTGTGATTGACATATTTGGGTTGGGGGCAGGGGCTATATGCAAGCAAAGAACAACTGTTTGTATATCTAGTGTAGTGATAATCCGTCGTAACGTTTGTGCTATGTAGGTGCTCTTTGAGTTACATTAATCGTATTTGTTTCCTTCTTTCTGTAGGGTGCACAGGACCCCCTCCTCAGTACAACAACAGCACGTTTGACCACTGTACGGAACAGACGACAGGTGGCTGTAACTGCACAGTAGCGAATCAGACGTGTCTCCATGGAGACCGGCTGTTCTACACGTGTGACCACGGCACGGATTTAGACTTCATCATCGTCTGCGACTATATGTATGCCGACGATCAAGGACACTACTACGGATGGGTTGTGGACAATGTCACACAAAAATTTGAAGACTGTACAGGTACGGCTGCAACTCTGTGCGAATGGTAGCACTTTTTTCTTGGTGTTGTTTTTTAAACTCACTATTTCCATCTAATGGGTTTCATTGCCTTGATAGAAACAACAAGGCACAGTACTAGTATCTAAGGTTCTGATACTGATTATTCTTTTATACATTTCTAAGGCTCCCCGGCGCCTATGCAAGCAACGCCAGAACCACAGCCAACCGCCCCTCCCATCCAGGGTAAGTAACACGCAGCCATGCATCTACATGTTACTTACATGTAGCTCCTGTCACAGGGACTGTTCGTCCACAGTCACACTGAGCTCTTAATTCTCAAGGTCAAGATAAATCCCCGTGTGAATCATATTCTAGATGATTTGTGAATACAGTCTGTAATGTATTTAGATATAGCAAGTGAAAGATGACGTGCTTTAAGCAATACGAGATTAATCAATACTAGTTTTCCCTCCAGCGTGTATCAGACTTGTTGAAAGTGAGACGCAGCCCCACGAGACGACAGGTATCCTGCAGGTGCAGTACAATGACACCTGGGGGAGCGTGTGTCACACAGGCACCTGGACTAACCACCACCTGGCCAACATTACATGCAGACTACTCGAATTTAACAGCTACGGGTCATTTTGGGAAATGGCATTACCAATAAGTAAGTATTTGGGGTCGTACACGTGCTGCGTATTGGGGTCGTGTGGCGTAAAGGCACTTTACACGACTTTCCTCACTTCGCTCAGGTGAAAATGAGCATTGTATTGTTCCCTGTGTTGGTGGCGGAATTAATATAAGTTGAAAAATTTGAGTGCGTCGTCACCACGTCTTGTGATTATATGTTGGAATATTAAAAAAAAAAAAGAATAACTAAGTAATCACATATTATAATAAGTAATCACATATAGTCGTAAAGGAGCCTTGTTAACAAAAATACGGAGACCATATACAGCGTTGTATTTACCATGATAGTACATGTATCTGTATGATTTGGTAGATATTTCTAGAAGAATGGTCTTCACGCCTATAGAAGGTTCTAAAATGCGTATACATTGTAACATCAGCGAAATTACAGTTCTTTTTTGTTGTGCCCTTTACCTAGATAATCGACCGCCGACTATTTCTACCGACGCATGGGAGGTTAACATAGCCTACTGTTCCGGACAAGAACTCAGTCTGTGGGACTGTACACCAGCGCCAGACAAGTCCACCTGGTTAACGTACGCCGTGTTTGGAAGTACAGCGTGTCCCAGTACACTGACAATATCGTGCCAAGGTACGAGCTGATTTGTGGCGTTTCTTTTAGTCTTAGGTAGGCCTTAGTCTTAAATTCATTCTTCGTGTTGCATCGTTTAGTTTTGTATTTGACTAGTAGTGTTACTAATTGGATTGTAATCACGCCCTCACCTGTGATGAAGTTTGTTTGATTTGTCACATGTAGTAGCTCAGTACTTATGTAGGGTCAATACAGCTGAGCCATCTAACTAGACAGGGAGTAAACAGGAATCATATCAGATCTACTGTAACTCATTGGCCACATATCGCAACCCCACTATTTCACTTGTGACACATAATGCGGAGATGAGATAACGATGTTAGCTATTTTATTACTTCTCTTGTGCTTATAGGGGTTTACGTTTAGCCTATCGGCGAGGTAGATTGCCACTAGACATAGGTTTAGGAAACGACTGCAAGATTGTAACCATGTTCTTCTGTTGATATACAGTAAGTTCGACCCTGCCTAACCTGACCTACTGTCCACCGACCACAACAACGCCAAATCCTACCGTATCTACAGACCACACAGAAGGTAGGTTTGGCAACAATGTTGTAAACCGATGTAATTTCTATTGAATGTTAGCAAAGTTATTTATAACAACGTTTGCAAATATTCTGTTTTTTTCATGAATTGATTAAACAGGAAAGATATCACGAAAACATAAATGAAAAGAAAGTTGCCATACTGTGGTGAATTTGTAACGCTTATCCTATTCCACTATACTTTTAGAACCAGACACAGAGTCAGCTATGGCCTCCGGAAACGAACCTCCACCCAATACAGGACTGTCTGGAGGTAAGTTAGGCGTATTGAATGCACTGAAGGTATCATCTATGATCTCAAGATGTGACAGCCGGACTGTTCTATATCAGATGTACCTTGACATTCTAAAGATGCATTTTGATCACTACGTTATAGTAACGCCTTATCTCCAATTGAGATGAATATCTCTTATCCCCATAGCTTTGTGTTGATATGTTGTGTCCCGCTCTTCAAGTGGTGATTACTTCGCCTTAGATTGTGAGGATTAATCTACATGTAGACTCTAACGGTACATATTTTCCACAGATACAGTTATTCCCATCCTTGTTATCGTGGGACTTCTACTTCTACTATTAGTGGTCTGTCTGGTTGCCTGCAGCGGGTAAGTTGTTCACAGACACACATACAGCAATGCCATTCTTTATTCTTTGACGTACACAATTTGTGCATAATGACTTTTCGGCGTTGAATGAAAACCATCGTGTAATGTTACCGATTACATGTATCAAATAAAAAAAATTGTACTGTATTTATTCATAGCTCTAAACGTAATACAAGACGAGTGGCGAAGCAGCCTCCAAGACAGAGAGAGGCTGCAGAGTTAACAGGAAGTCAGCAAAGAGAACAGAGACAAGCTGCAGGGGTAAGAGCAGGTCATCGAATGGAACTATCACCCAGAGACACCAATTTCACGGACCAGGAACCTCAACACGAGATTGAGACATTAGCTGCACCTTCAGACGATAGAAACCACAATCAGTTGACACATGACCCCGTCTCAACCACAGCAAGGCAAACAGAAACACCAACAGCTATAGAGCCAGGGCCGTTTGAGGGGGAATCCTCTAGGGCTAGGGCAGGTCCAACGGAGGGGCCATCAGAGAGCGAACACAGACCGGCTATTGACGAACGCCTTGTAGCACAACCAGAGAAACTGACAGAGACTGCCATACACGTGTCAGAAGACACAGGGGGAGGCGACATCGGTCAGTTTGTGGAGGAACCACCAGGAAATCATGTTGACCAACAAGAAGAAGCAACAGAGAATTGTGAGACGGAAGCTCCAAACGCAACGACTAGTTCAACAGAGGATTCGGTCATAGAAGAGCATCCAGAAGAAACGTCAAGCCCTACTGGAAGATGCAGCATCCTGCATACACACACACACCGCGCGGCATGGACGGAGTCAACAGACGGACCAACAGGGAGAGGCAACACTGACCAGCCTTCAGGAAGAGTGAGCCAAACTGGGAGGCCTACAGGAAGGCTATCCTCTGTCACAAACCCGATATTCCCCTCTCCAGATCAGTACGGGCCTTTAGGGTCGCCCTTTCATCAGGACACGGAAAGACAGGCCGACAATCAGCCGGCCAGTGCAGGACAAGACACACGCGTGCAAGATGATGTGACGGAGGAAGATTTGTAAGAAAAAAAGAGATGAAAAGTTGAGCAACTGTCATCTGCATTTCATAACACGTTGCGAGTTATTAACTCCATTCCTTGAGAACTTTGATGAACTATCTTAGCAGTTGTTTTTCGCTGTTGCTGTGTTTCATCACTAATGTTGATATTTACCAAAATGTACTGTGTGACTACTTCATGCTTATCATATCTATGTATATTACCGAATAAGTTGATTTTAAAATACTGTAATGTAGAAGACACGAGTAGGCTGTTTTGATGCAGTGTTTTATTTTTGTACCAAGGTATCCCTTTATGACTCGACATCACACAGAGATGTACATTGTATACCAGCAAATCTAAATCATTAAAATCCAACTTGATGGTTGCAAGCGATTTTGCAAGTATTTGTCAATAAGCCATGGGTAGGTAATACCCTATGGTGGAACAAATGGGTTAAAAACAACGTATTTGCTCAATGTCAGATTGCGACATAACTAATGTTGACGTTACGAGCTCGAGGTACAAGCTCGGTACTTGGTTACCACGAACGTCCAGAAAAATGCATCAACACTTTCTCAGCAGCTGGTGTTATGGGGTTGGCAGTGGCCTCATTGGTTCGTCCAAGCCAGACAAATACACGATACAGTCCGTAGTACTTTGCACTTGTCAAATTCATGGTTCCTTTTCATTCAAAAGAGGACTACATTTAATACCATGACTATCATTTGATGTTCCATTGATATTCTATTTGAAGCTTATCTTATCTTAATGTATACTGAACAAAGTCCCTGGTGGGACATCACGTACAGGGTTGGGTTGGGGGTGCACGACTTAGTGCGGCCAGTGGTAGATGTATATGTGCAACAAACTAACTTTTAAAAAACGTGATAACCTGTGCATCAAAAGAAAAAAGAGGAAACCAATCAATTGTGCTGGCCACACTACGTTTATTAAAGTTCAAGCCTGTATCTGGGTAGGGGGGTGGGGGTGTTGTGCGACGTGTGGGGCAAGCCCACTTTTGAATAGGTCAAGTAAAGTTGCCGTTACCAAATGTGCCAGTAAATGGTTCCATTCAGTAACTGTACGTGGGAAATAGCTAGCCGTAAATGTGTCAGTTTTGGATGAGAGAATGTCCTTTGTGTTTGGTGTCAGATAAGTAGCTATGGGTATTGCTGCAAGGTGATTAATGGCTTTGTAGATAAGCTTTCTGATCTCATCTGCTACTTCTAATCTCTGTAAACAACAGTAATCACATGCAATTCCTTTGGAGTTCAGTAAATTGCTCCGCAAACATGAAGCAAAATTGTGTCCATTAAAAAGTGTTCTATGTTGTTCATTTGCTTACCATAGATATACATACTGACGCAATAACCTAGTATAAAGCATTGTGACCAACTGAAAAACATGTCGCAATCCTGGAGTACAAACCAGCTGTCCACCGTTCATGTATTGATTGGAACATTTTGATTCGTTCTTCTAAAAGTGATGAGAACACCAAATCGAATGTTTTCACCCTCATTCATCCTCTCAGGTTTATTTCTCAGGGAGCATGTTTGAGTACTTAGATGATAACATCTTTATTAATCAAAGAATCTTATTATCACGTGGGGTAGGGAAGATGCGGGAGACAAGAATGTTATATCAGGATCTCCTTTATTTCCACGGATCTTCCCTGACAGTGTCTCGTCGTCAACTCCCCCGATCCCCCAAGGGGTCAGCCCTCCTTAACCCCCTCCGTACTTGTGTTGATGTGGTTCTTATCTAACAAACCATTAAAATATAAGAGGCTAGCATCCAGACCCCTAGCAACAACTAACATTTGTGTCCTGATCACCCCGTGGCATTATCACACAATGATAAAGATAATATAAATGAGAGACTCAAGCGTTCGAGTTAATAAGCCTGCAAAAGACATGATCACACACAGCGCCAGCGGATTACACCGTGTTAGCTTCATTGCGAGGATCAGACAGTACCTGGTTCCGTTGATCTATACTAGCGACAAAGGATGAGGTGTCTGGAAATAGCTGCATTTTTTGTCTGCGTGGTGGTGGGACAGGTAGAATGCACTGCTGCTGCAAACAAAGGTAGGTCGTCCTACAAAATTTTGTGTAATGGACATGGTTGACTTTGCAGAACATTTACAGAAACGACGGAAAGCCCGAAAACTCCTTAGTCTCCTGATGCTTAGGTCACATTTGAAACGGCGCCCGTTCGGCATGTCCTCGGCGTAGACGCCGGCCGGCGTCATGACGCCGAGCGTGCGCCGTACTGTCAGGGTCACAATTAAATGTTCCTTTACGGCTCCCTGTCGGGGCCTGCTTGTGTTCCGGCCGGCGGCTCTCATTAATATTCATAAACTTTTGCGGCCGGTTTCTGTCAGGGACCCGTCCGTTGCCCGGTCAGTCGCCCGTCTTGACCCGTGCGGCGTGTGGTAGGGTGCCGACCGGCTCTTACAGTTCGGCCGGGCAGCTGTCAGGTCCCTGGCGGGTTCCTGGCGGGATCCCGACGGGCTCCTCTCGTGTTTTTGAGCAGGTACATATATAAGCGCTGCACTGCCTGCTACCGTTCACTTCAAGTAAAGAGTACACGTCAAGTAAAGAGTAGACTGAAGTTGGCGATGCAGCGTTCAGTGCAACCTGCAAACAACTTACAAGCCCGTCTGAGATTGAGATTGGTGACAACCTACATGTAGGTCTTCTGGCATTGGTAGCTGAAGAAGAGAGGCAGGCAGAACTGGTGCGTCGCAAAAGTAACCGAGGGCCTGCTTTCGAAAGTACTTCAACAGTGACGCAGGAAGTACTTCAGCAGTGACGCAGGAAGTGTGCCGTGGCAGCTCCTTGCTATTGAGCAATAAAACCACTGAATATCGTTACTTCTGTTGAAATTTGGACTGAAAATAAATGCCAATAACTTCTGATTCCATTTTATTACGAAGGCATATGATGTAACAAGAGATAATGTCAGACACATTCTATTCCTGTTATGATCTGTTTTATGAAGTTGGCAAGAGAGCCGTGCCGGCTGTTTTCCCTTGCTCTTCGACATTCTGACACACAAATACAAGGTGTAACACACACAAGTACACGATGTAACACACACGTGGTGAACTGTGCGACGTAGTCTGAGGCAGGAGTTTATATATGCTCCCTATAACCCCCTTTTCCTGACCATCTGATGCACTGATCAGCACATGTGACGTCATAATCTTAGGCAGGTGCCTGTTCGGCCGCCCGACGGGTCCCGGGCAGTGAGGTTACGGCGTCGCTTCGGCGTATTTCGCCGAACGGGGCCCGAAGTGTTTTTAACTCTGAGTTAAAATCGATTCGGCGACCGCGCGGGGCCAAAAATAGGCCGGCAGCCGTCGGGAAGCCCGCCGGTCTCCGTCCAGGTCCCGTTCGGTAGTGCCAAAAAACACGCCGAACACGCGCCGAGCGGGCCCCTTTCTTGAATTGTGACCTAAGCATTAGCAGGCTCAACGACTACGGGGTTCTTTTGCCGGCCTAGCCGGCTACGTTTGACGGGCAAAAGAACTCTGAAACTAAAAGAAGAGATATGCCAGAAAGGAAAAAGCGCATGATAAAGGCTCCCCAAATACCCAGTCGTTGGACATGCTAAGGAGGCTACCCAAAATTGTTCGAGGTAATGTCATAAATTTAATTCCAGCATAGAACGCCCAGTTTGACTTTTTCGTAATTATCTACTATCGACATGCCATTGGTCCATAAGGCTCAAATACGTTTATACATTCCACTTACACGGCGCTGATATAAATCTGATATCAGAAATTCTGCTTGCCACAGTTGTAATCATAAACCACTGGTCTGTTGCTAAAATTTAATCAAGATTATGTTCGCCATCTTCGGAGAGCGCCACTTAGTAGCGCCGTGAGAGCGCCACTCACGGCTCTCACGGCGCTCAGCATCGCGCTCTCATCGCGCTCCCATGGCGACCATGGTGCTCTCTCCGCGCTCTGGCCAATTTAAAGGTCGCAGAGACAGCGCCGTGAGAGCGCCGTCTAAGTGGAATGGGGGTATTAGTTAGACCAGAGTCACTACGTTTTCACGGTACATGAAATTCTGAGAGCAAATGGGCTTCTTTCAAATAAAATCCCAATAAGATTTTCGCAAAAGTGACCGAAGATTCTTCACTAGTACTTGAGGACAAAATTTCCACTGTCCCCAACTTGACATTCATCGAAAAGTGAAAGAAAAGAAAGATGTGTATTTATTACACCTACTGTTTCATATTGAGGCGCCCATATATGCCATTTCACTGATTTTAGTGTATACCAAATATGGTCATGAACCCAACAAAAAAATCAAACTGTTATGCGAAAAGAGTCAAGGTACAAGGATTAGGGGGGGAGCAAATTGAACTGCATATGAAATCTGTCCGAAATACATTCAATTTAGTACGTGGCGTGTCGAATGCTTAGGATGAATCTGACCGCACTAGAGTGTACGTGTCGAGCTGCACGTTTGAGCATGCCTGACCGGGCTAAGGCGATACAAGTTGCCTTTGTGGTTCAACCAGAGGGCAGCGGGAAGGTGAGGGTCCAAAGTACATGCCAGACAAACAATGATCTACAAGTGTGTACATGTACAACTTTTATACAGCCAATTACACGGTTAGCTAATGTCGCTTAGGTAGATTCAAGTATTCACCAGGATGAGGAAATGGGGTGGAAGTAAAGATGTTGTCAGTTGTTTTTGATATGCTTGTTTGTCTTGAGATTATTTACCGTTGTTTTACTTTTTCTGGACTATTGATAAAACCAAGCTACAATAGATTCGCAAGTATTTGTCTAGAAAATAGTCATACTGTTTGCTCTTTATCAGAGGAGAGCATCTTAATCATATTTCAATCATACAACTTAATGGAGGAAGTTACAAGGTCCCATGCTGTTATTTAGTTACCAAAGCCTTCCGCAGAAATGAAATCATATTGTCAATGAAAATCAAATTGAATCCATCTTCTTTACCGAAAGCATCGTGTCGTAGAATCCATTGGAAGATATTTGTTTTTTTTTCATTCACCAACAGTGTATAAAAATGTGGAGATATTTGCCAAGTCCGAGCATATTCTAGCGGCCGTTTTGTTGTTATTGTTTTTTTGTTCATGGCGGTTACAGTGTTATATTTCATTATTTTGTCGCTGTGTGGCGCTGTGATACTTGATATGGCAATATGATATGAAATGAAATGGCAATTGCATAGCAACATCTCAGAGTACGAACAGGCAAGAGCACGATTGTGGGATAGATTTAAAAATATATATTTTACCCAGCTTTATTCAGTATGCAGAAATCAACACAAAAAGTATACATAATAAACAAAATAACAAAAGTATGGGAATGTTAAGTCACATCATTTGTCTGTCGTTTAAACAGTTGTTAATGTAATAATAAGGCAAAAATCATTTATTTAACAAAAAAGGTGTCATATTTCACAAAAAATATACATAATTAAAAAAATAAACAAAAGTAAGGTAATGTATAGTAACATCATTTTGTTTGTCGTTTAAACAGCCAGGCAATCATTTTATAACAAAAAGAGAAGGTGTATGTATACATGTATCTTCAACTGTTGCAACTTGGAATTATTAAAGTCTTGCCAGAAAAAAGGAGGATATACCACACTATTGTCTCTATCACAGTTGAAATGACATACTGTTCAACATTAAATCTAGTATTCAGTACATATATGAGTGCTGTTTTCAGCATCCCTAATACTGAACACCATGCTTGTGTCATATGGGTCTGACTTTCTTTGCATGTATGCAACGTTACTGATTTCAGCATCCTCAGCTGTCTGCAACTTCCCCCTCGGTATTGAGAACGGAAACATCAGAGACACCCAAATGTTGACCCATTATGCGCATCCTGGCTATGAACCATGGGAGGGCCGTCTTAATGGTAATGGGGCTTGGTGGGCTCACAACAGCACGCTGGTGAAATATCTACAGGTCAGTATGTACGTCTTGGTTAGTGAGATAATACATTGAGATTTATATAATAGTATTGATTTAAACTGTTCATATTACTATGTCCTACATGTATATCTAGATAATCGGGATATTTACCCGGCCCCTATAGCTAATATATATATATATACTTACTATATTTGCAAATGAGCAGGACATCAGTGAAGAAAAAATTATGTAATAAATTCTATTTCTTGACCTCTGCTTTCCATAAAAGAGCTAACAAAGTGCGATATTTATTGTGTCATAAAGACTGTTTGGTGTTCTTTGTCTTCCTACAGATAAATTTCGCCACTGAAAGGCACGTGACCGGCATTCAAACACAAGGTTTTGAAGATGGATGGGTGGAAACATTTCAAATATTAACTACCAGTATAGGTTCGGTATGGACGTCTCCATTTGCAACGGTATGTGTAGGGCACATATTTTAATTTTCTATCAATTGCAAAATGGCTCAATCTGTAGTCGGGTGGGTTTATGGTTGATCAATATCTGATGGCAACCATATATACCATGGGGGAATTGTCCTCAACATAAATCTTGGTGCACACGACCAGCAGGTTGGGTAAGCAACATCAATTTGTTTCCAGTTACTTGACGATATGTGTATTTTCACTTTGCAGTTGTCTTTCCTTCCACAGGACTTCACTGGAAACACCGACAACAATACAGTCGTTCAGAATTACTTCAACCCAGTTATTAAGACTCGGTTCATTAAAGTCGTCGTCAAGACATATCACTTTACCGCCAAGATGAGGATAGAGTTCCTGGGATGCGATGGTGAGTTTACAGCCGTCTTTTTTCTTCCCGTCTGCCTAAGATATATCCTACATCCCATCCAATATCATAGTCATAATATAACGTTACAGCATCTGTGCCCGACTTCATCTTCCATTTGATCGAAATTATAGAATTGTTATAGATTGTTTGCAGGAGACATCGGTTTTGACTATAGGTAACGTTATGTTTTAGGAACACCCTGTCCACTGTAACTTTTAAAATAACTTTGAACTTTGTCTCCTCTCTAAGACAACGACGACTGCCAGTCGAATCCATGTCAGAATGGCGGCACATGTGTGGACGGGCTGGACTCCTACTCATGTAACTGTACTGACAGCTTTAGTGGAGACACCTGTGAAGGTACAGCTTCCTTCTTTACAGCAGTGTTTATAATGTTTTAATACAAGGTTTCAAAAAGTTTACGAAACTCTCACGTGATAATCCGTGCGCGTAAACGCTGTAGGCATACACTTATAGAGGAAACCAGATATTAGTATTTCCTACTTCTAAATTCTCTCTACCCCTTCAGAAAAGTTGACTACAGTTGAGATACCTACAACTGCCCCAGTTTCTACAACAACATCCATAACAACAGCCTCGCAGACGACTGGTCCACCTACACCTGACGCACCGACATCCCAAGTGCCAACCACGACAATGTCGACTAACATTCCCACGACTCTCGACCTCCCAACAACCAGACCTGGCACCGCATCCAAAACAACCAGCGTAAGTAGTAAAACTACGGCGATTACAGGAGCATCTAACGATATGTCAACCCAACACACAACTGTCCACAGTACTGAAAAACACTCCACGGATTCAGCTCGATTCACCGTGGATTCAGGGTTCACGGATCACGCCTCTACGCCAGAGTTTGTAGTGGAAGATTCAACGGCAGCTACTACTGAGTCATCAAACAAGCCAAAAGACAATCAACCAGCTGTATCCGGCGCACTGATAGGTAAGAACGGATTATTCATTGGTAGCGAGTAATTTGGGGGAAAATAGATATATCGTACCAAGATTAGTGCAAAAATGTTGAGAAGGTTCTCCTTTTCCTATTTTTTGTCCAGGTGCCATTGTTGGTGGGATCTGTGTTGGACTTATCGTCATAGCATTGCTTCTGGTAATAACCGCGTTGCTCAATAAACGGTAAGAGAACCTGAAGTTTAATTGATTATCATCACCCACAAAGTTAAATTTTTCGTTAGATATTTAACATAGTGTTGTTACACAGTTGCAAATATATTCTAAATCAAACGTTATAACGATAGGATGAAATGGTTATATATTCAAAAGACAATGTGAGGCATGAGAAATACCACCTGCCTCTATATAATTTGAATGGTTGCAACTATGCTTGGTGCATTTTAGGGTTAACAATGGAGTTCTTTCTTCATTTCTCAGATATAGAAACACCAGTCGTGTAAAACCACGTGAGGATTTCCCCCTGCAGCAACAAAAGGCAGAATGGATACCTTAAATGACATACGCATATCATGATCAGAACTTAATCGGTTTAACAGATAGATGATGTATTGCCAAGCGTGGATACAGCAAAAACTAACTGATCTACCAGCGTGTACATGTATCACGTAGTAAGCTATTGCTTTGCAAGATGTTCTAGTGTTTATGACGATGATGAAGTGGGTGAAGGTTAAGTGCTGTCCAAGCTCATAGCTTAAATACCCTTCCGTCTCTAAACGAAATCATTTTCCTTATACCAACTTTTTTAAATAAAACATTTTCCATACAAAGCTGACACTAAGCTATAACGGATGTATCTTCATGTGTATACGTACGAATTTGTCTAGAAATGAGAAAGGGAAAGAGAGCTAGAAAGCCTAGATACTGTCGGCTGTTGCTGTTTATCAAAATGGATTATACTAAGCACACTACACGTGAGGTAATGACAGGAAGTTACGAGTACAAAGTTATGTATATTCATGCTGTTAGGTAGTTATCAACGTCCTCAGCAACGAAATCATATATTCTCTGAAGAAGAGAAAACGATTAACTTTAATCTTTTACACTGAGTCATATCATTAATAAATTCAAACTATTATTGGATAAATTAAATATATGTTGATGAAGCCGACCACACGATGACGGCCCAGTGCTTTATGTACAGTATATCTGAGAAATATTGCATTGCGCTATTCTATCGCTATGTGGCGTTGTGATACTATAATATATCTAGTGACGTAGCAATTATCATCATATGATCATAAACTATGAAGTTAAAGGATAAGTATTTAAGAATTAACAAGCTTCGTACATACATGTATCCTATCTCTATTTTTAACAACCAGCTGCAGTATTCTGTACTCTGGCAAGGAGACTGGAACAGGTAGCTTTAACAGTATAAACACGCTGATCATTGAATTGATTATCCTTATCTGCATACTGAACACAGAAGGGCCCACATAGGGGAATGCAGTAACATGCAGGGACCTAATCTAGTTCTGATTACAGTCCCGACTGTCTGGATTCATCGTTTAGCTATCATCATTTCACCTTCGTGTTGATATCTGTTACTTCAAATATACCTTGCTTGATACTGATGTCATGCTAGGTGCTGTCAGAAACCCATTGTGTATAGTATAGTATACTGTATACTCTAGATCTTGTCAGACGATAACTTAAAAGCCCCTGGCTTCATTTTAACCCGTTACGTTGAGCATAATGGTGAGCTCAAAGATGACTACATCTCGGATCGCGAAACTTTTTGTTGTCACAGTTTTCTTGGTATATCCTGGCTTTTCAAGAGGATTTCCTGGAAGCACCAAGTACAGAGGTACGTTACATGCTGCAAGTGCAGTAGAGAACTTTCATAAATTCACCTTTTGAACCCTTAACATGAATCATGCTTTAGGGCCTCCATATGAAAATTAATAATTCTATCACAATAAGATGAACACCAACGACACAGGTCTCTCTTTGCATGCTGAGCTAAATTTTAATCTTGCAAAAACCTGCCATCAAAACAACCACGCAGACTAGACATTTCCCAAAAGTTTCACTGTACGTACCCCATTAGTGCCTTATCATATGAGAACATTATCTTATAATGTGAAGAATTGCAATGATTAACATGAAAGCAAATATAAAGACGGCTTTGTCGACTCTACCTGGTACTTACGATCACAAAGCTATTCTTGTCGAAAAGGAAAGGATATGCCACACTATACATTCTAGTACAGAGGTTTCATTCTAGTGCAGAGGATTGATGAAATACCTTTATTGTACATTCATGCCACGACGGGCTAGGTACAGGTCAAGACTTAACAGACACATAACAAACATATACGAATGCAATATTGGATCTGATATTACGTGCCGTTTTCAGCATCCTCAGCCGTCTGCGACTTCCCCCTTGGTCTTGAGAACGGTAACATTTTAGACCAGCAAATGTCAACCTATTTCGAAAATTCTGGATATGAATCATGGAGGGGCCGTTTGAATGGTAACGGAGCTTGGTGGCAGCCAGACAGCACGCCGTTGAAATATCTCCAGGTCAGTATTAATAGGCTTTAGTTAGTAAGTAAGATGTCATTTTTTCAACTTTTATCCTATGCTTTGTTATGCTTAGGTCGCATTTGAAACGGCGCCCGTTCGGCATGTCCTCGGCGTAGACGCCGGCCGGCGTCATGACGCCGAGCGTGCGCCGTACTGTCAGGGTCACATTAAATGTTCCTTTACGGCTCCCTGTCGGGGCCTGCTTGTGCTCCGGCCGGCGGCTCTCATTAATATTCATAAACTTTTGCGGCCGGTTTCTGTCAGGGACCCGTCCGGTGCCCGGTCAGTCGCCCGTCTTGACCCGTGCGGCGTGTGGTAGGGTGCCGACCGGCTCTTACAGTTCGGCCGGGCAGCTGTCAGGTCCCTGGCGGGTTCCTGGCGGGATCCCGACGGGCTCCTCTCGTGTTTTTGAGCAGGTACATATATAAGCGCTGCACTGCCTGCTACCGTTCACTTCAAGTAAAGAGTACACGTCAAGTAAAGAGTAGACTGAAGTTGGCGATGCAGCGTTCAGTGCAACCTGCAAACAACTTACAATCCCGTCTGAGATTGAGATTGGTGACAACCTACATGTAGGTCTTCTGGCATTGGTAGCTGAAGAAGAGAGGCAGGCAGAACTGGTGCGTCGCAAAAGTAACCGAGGGCCTACTTTCGAAAGTACTTCAACAGTGACGCAGGAAGTACTTCAGCAGTGACGCAGGAAGTGTGCCGTGGCAGCTCCTTGCTATTGAGCAATAAAACCACTGAATATCGTTACTTCTGTTGAAATTTGGACTGAAAATAAATGCCAATAACTTCTGATTCCATTTCATTACGAAGGCATATGATGTAACAAGAGATAATTTGAGACACATTCTATTCCTGTTATGATCTGTTTTATGAAGTTGGCAAGAGAGCCGTGCCGGCTGTTTTCCCGACATTCTGACACACAAATACAAGGTGTAACACACACAAGTACACGATGTAACACACACGTGGTGAACTGTGCGACGTAGTCTGAGGCAGGAGTTTATATATGCTCCCTATAACCCCCTTTTCCTAACCATCTGATGCACTGATCAGCACATGTGACGTCATAATCTTAGGCAGGTGCCTGTTCGGCCGCCCGACGGGTCCCGGGCAGTGAGGTTACGGCGTCGCTTCGGCGTATTTCGCCGAACGGGGCCCGAAGTGTTTTTAACTCTGAGTTAAAATCGATTCGGCGACCGCGCGGGGCCAAAAATAGGCCGGCAGCCGTCGGGAAGCCCGCCGGTCTCCGTCCAGGTCCCGTTCGGTAGTGCCAAAAAACACGCCGAACACGCGCCGAGCGGGCCCCTTTCTTGAATTGTGACCTAAGCATTATGTATCCAATAACGTTATTTCTGATGGCGTATACTTGAATTGTGAATTGTTTGAAAGCAAAATGTGATATAATTGTATCGTAAAGGCTAGTTAATGTCTTCCCGCAGATTGATTTCGCCACTGAAAGGAACGTGACCGGCATTCAAACTCAAGGTTTTGAAGATGGTTGGGTGGAAACATTTCAAATAGAAACTGCCACTACTGGTTCGCTAGTATGGAACCGACCATTTGCAACGGTATGTGTGGGATAAGTCTTTTTCCGTTTAATTATGGTAAATGTATGTGCAACTAGAGTTCCACGATCTCATACCTTCGCCAAATGATGTTAATCTTTATGACTGACAAATTATACAATAGATTATTCCCCCTGATCTAACAAATAGGAACCTAATTTTCATGAATTATATCATTTTATCATAATCTCGACCAAAAGACAGTCTTGTAATAACAAACAATGCATTCTAGTATTTCCTAATAAATTATGCGAATGAGGTCCTGATTTGAATAAATTATGTTTATTGATGTTCACCTCAAATTAACTTTAAAATACCACAAGTATGAAATTCCAGACAGTTATCATTACATAATTATAATTTTTTCATTAATTATGCAAATTAACTCATTATTAACATAATCAATATCTGCCTGTGTTTCTCTCGTTGTCAATTACCAATGTCACAAGCTTCAATTGTCTTATCATGGAATGCAGCTGATTTATAGAATTTCCCCATAAATTATGCAAATTACACCCATATTTGCATAATTGTCACATAATTGTATTAAGCATCACGTAAGCTACCTACATACCAAAAATCACGACGATCCGTCAACCGGTTCTTGAGTTATCCTCTTTTTAATGTTTTCAAGAATATATCCCTGCAGTTCCATAGCAAGCAGCTAGGGGGCCCAAACTCACGTCACTTCTTCACAAGCATAAGAGCTACCTACCATTCAAATTTCATCACCATAGCATGTCTAGATCATGAGATATCAAAACCGGAAGTTCAGCTGCAGTACCATAACAAGCCGCTAGGGGGTCCAAAATCTAATCATTTTGAGGTCTCATCAAGACCTACCCACCTACCAAGTATCAAGACAATCCATCAAGGCCTTCTCAAGTTATCGTGTTTACAGACAGACACACACACACACACACACACACACACACACATACACGAACGCCTCTGAAAACATAACCTTCTTGGCGAAGGTAATGATAAGCATAGGCAGTCGATATTGATGTTCTGATATCTGA